ATAATAATAATAATAATAATAATAATAAATTTTCCAATGAGGCACAATTAATTATAAGACAAAAATATAAACTACATTCCACAAAGTCCTATCTTTTTCACGATTTCATTGTTTCTATATAGTAAAATCGCAATGAAATTTATTTAATTCCAATATCTTAGGAAACAATTTATAATTGAGAAATCGATTAATTAAGAATGAAAATTAGTTCATTGTTGATTATGATTCTAAATGAGTGAATAAATTAAAAAAAAAATTTTAACCAATTTACGCGAATATATATAAAGATAGAATATAAAGAAAATTATAAATAATTACATAGATAAAGTTCATACGATATAAACTATATATACAAAACGTTCTAAATTTATACGATTAATAACTAAAATGAGCAATAAGTAGTAAATCATTAAGCGAATATCCAACGCCAATTAGCTACTCTTGCGCATCTTATAATAATCGCGTGTCGATTAACGGTGTAATTATATCTAATTTCTCAATGCATTATTACTGACACAAAAAATAAGCAATATTGGAATTCCACAAATACGCTTCAATCAAAAAGATATCTGATCAAATTGTCTCAAAATAGAAGAAAATTTTCGTTACACAATTACACACGACTTTTTTTTAGATTTATGGAAAAAAAAGAAAACTAATTATAACAAATTATCTTTAGTATTCAATTAAGAATAATTAATTTACTAATTTTTTTTGGAAGAAATTAATTAATATAATTAATTTGGTAATTAATGTAATTTAAGTTTCTTTAAAAGAAAATGAAAAAATAAAAAAATTATACATAATGTTACGAAATAATTGATTTAATTTGAATTAGATTTATATTAATTAATTAATTAATTTGCAAATTAATTTTGTTACAGTATTGTACCGTATTAAATTTCTTTGAAAGTTATTTTTCATTTTTTCTCTTAATTATGGCTTTTTTAAATCAGATTTTTTTGTTAAATTTTTTCTGTTTATTTTTTTTTATCTTTTTCAGTAGTCTCTAATTTTTATAAATTTTGAATCAAAATTTTTCTTACAAACTCTATTTTTGTTTTAAAATTTCATAAATTTTACTATATCTGAAGTAAAATGCAGTAAAAAATTAATAAAATTTACCTCGAACTCGGTAAAATTTCCTTCAAAAATAATAAAATTTAATATTAAAGTTATTTCCAGAACAACTTTTACTATTTTTAAAGACAATTTTTTATTAAAATTAATAAAAATTTACTTCAGAAATAGTAAAATTTAGTTTAAGAATAAGAATTTTTAATAGCTAAGTTTACTATGTTAAAAGAAAATTTGAATAATTTTTATACAAAAATTAACATTAAAAACAGTAAATTTGGCTTTTAAAATTCTTTATTTCCAGAGTAAATTTTATAATATCAGTAAATTTTATTGAAAAAAGAGAAGTTCTTACTGTGATTATTAATTAGAGTTATAATATTATTAATAATTATTAAATTATTAAATTATTAAAAATTATTAATTAATTAGAGTAATTACTAAATTAATTATAGACAGAAAAAAAATTTATTTGATTCAAATGCACCCAGAGAAAAATTTTATTTTTAAACCAAATATAATATATTTGAATTAAATAAAATTATATTTGTCTCAGAGCAAATCTAGGTTATTTACTTGTTTCAAATAAAATTTATTTTAAAATAAATAAAACTACTATTTTAACTAAATATAATTTATTTAAACAAAATAAAATTTATTTGAAATAAAGAAAACTTACTGGAAACAAATAAAAAGTCAAGTTGGCCATTTAATTAATTTAATTAAAAATTATTTGATTCAAGTAAATACATAATTGATAATAGACAAGTAATTAGTTGTTTGAATCGAATACATTTTTTCAAATGTGTTAATTAATTTCTCACAAAGAAAATTACTTAATTAAATAATAAATTTACTAATTAGCATAATTAGACTAGTAATTAATTGGCCAATAAAATTAATTTAGCAATTAATTAATTACTAGAAATTTAATTCAAATGAAATAAATTATTTCGTAATTTCATGTACATACATGATTCTTTTTTTTTCATTTTCTTTTGAAGAAACTTAAATGATATTATTTACAACAAGTTTTTCCTGAGAAACTAGGATCTGAAGTAACATATCACGAGTTTATTGTCTGAACCTGAGGGTAAATGAGTACTGCATTTAGTGTAACGATAAAGTATAGATCACCACGCATGTATTACGGGGCTGAGCCGATGAGAATTATATTGTAATACCTAACTTGCTATCGGGCAATTGTACCGAGACGATCAATCACTGAGTGAAAGTACATAAAGTCACGAGGTACATCAGTATTTACTGATATGTTTACGAATGAATGAGCAATTAATAATTAGGTTAATTTCCAATCATTTCTTAATGAATATACTCGTGATGTTTATAATATTTTCAAATTCATAATTGTTATTCAATGTACTATTGTAAAAAAATATTTTATTATGTTCACTTTTACTTTTAATTAACGTAAAAAATTAAATCGTAAAATTTGTAAAAAATAATTTAAATAAATAAACAAATAAATAATAATGTAATGTAAATAAATAATAATCAATAATAAAAACATTGTATTTATTATAATTATTATTAATAATATTAAAATATTATGCAAATAAAAAATTATAAATTAATTTTTTAGAATTTAGTTTTTATTAATATAAATAATTCTAAATTCAAATAAAAGATATTAAAAATAATCAACAAGTAAATATACTTGTATTATGTATATAAATTTAAAAAATTAATTTTTATTTGAAAATATTTAAAATTTAATTAATTTATTATTTTTTTAATTTGTTTACTTAAAGTATACTTCATGTAACTCAGTTCTTGATTCTTAAATTATTTTTAAGAAATTTTAACTCTTTTTTAACTGTTAAAACAGAATTTAAAATTTCGAAAATTGATAATAAAATTTATGAGACGAATAAACTTCATTGAACCAAACACGACTTGCATAATTAAAAAAAAATTATTATTTTTATACTCCTAAATACATTTTAACGTTTCTCTATTGTACTTACAATATTTTAATATTCTTAACCTCATCATGTTAAATGTTTACTTACCATAAACATTCTGGAGTCTTAAAATCTCTGGGCAATTTTGGCACATACACACTTTGCTTTTGTGATAAATCCAGTCACGTGATTAAAATATTTTTTACTCCATGGCAAAGAAAAAAAAAACTTCAACTTATTTTAAATATTATATTTGAATTTTAACCGATGAGGTTCAGTCTCGAAAGGGATCTGATCTAGTTAGGATGTCTTAGGAGAATGTCATGATGCATGGGACCTAACAACTCCCTTCTTAAAGTACCCCACTTGAATCTTTCAAAACTTCAAGGAGGTTTCAAGGAGAATTTGGCAAAAAAATACCTTTCTTCCGGAAGTAGGGAAAAATTAGTGTTCAAGTAAATTTTTCTTCTTTCAATTAAATCTCAAAAAATTGAGAATTATGCATTGATAGAAAAAAAAAATATTTGCTGTAAACAATTTCAATTAAATTGAAATAATTTAGGTTTGTAATTTAAAAAATTGAATTACCAAGGCAGTGTTGCTCTTGGTAAAAAAATATTCGCATCGAGATATAATTATTTTTTGAAATATATAAAAAAAAACCTTGACTCAATACTGTAAATTGAATCATTAATTTAAATATTGTGATTGCTATTTTAATTTTTTGAGTGACTCTTGCAAACTTCAACTACTTGTCAAATTTTTTTTAAGTCAAAATTAACTAAAATATAAGCGAAGTATTTTGTTATTATTATTAATTAATTAATTAATATTATTAACTTTTGTTGTTTTTTATAAGTAGAAGTTTTCTAATTATTCAATAACTATTTCCTAATCTATTTAAAAATTAATTGAATGATTTATCCAAACTTCAACTGTCAAATTTTTTCTAACAAGTCAAAAATAATCTAAAAATTCAGCAAAGTATTTTATACTTTTTAGTTCGAATATTTAGTAGAATTAATTATTAAATTATTTCAATTTAATTAATTAATCTTAATTAGTATAATTTTTCTAGTTATTACTAAATAACTAGAAAAATTCTACTAATTAAAATTAATTAATTAAAGTGAAATAATTTAATAATTAATTCTACTAAATATGAATAACTAGAAAAATTCTACTAATTAAAATTAATTAATTAAATTGAAATAATTTAATAATTAATTCAACTAAATATTCGAACTAAAAAGTATAAAATACTTTGCTGAATTTTTTTTTATAGATTTCGTAATCTATAATAAAATTGTATTCAATAATTTATCCAAATTGTAACAACCTGTAAAATTTTTTCTAATAAGTCAAAAATAACCTAAAAATTAGGCAAAGTATTTTATATTTTTCTAACTGGAATTTTTACTAGAATTAATTAATTTTAATTAGTAAAATTTTTCTAGTTATTCAATAATTTTTTCGTAATCTATTAAAAAATAAATTCAATGATTTATCCAAACTTTAAACTACCTGTCAAATTTTTTTCTAATAAGTCAAAAACAACCTAAAAAAATTAGGCAAAATTTATCATAATTTTGTTACTTTACCAATAAAATTTCTCTAATTATTTCGTAATCTATTTCAAAATTAATTGAAAGATTTATCCAAACTTCAACTTCCTGTCAAATTTTTTCTTATAAGTCAAAAATAACCTAAAAATAATGATGCGTTTCATACTTTTGTTACTTTTCAAGTAACATTTTTCTAATTATTTTGTAATCTTTTTAAAAAAATTAATCTTATGTTTCAAGAGGAATTAATATTTGACTCAGAATTTAATTATACTATTCGTAATTTTAATAATGTAAACAAAACTTGTTTAAATTTCGTTTGAATTATTTTCAATATTTTTTAAATTTATAGCTAAATTTTATTAGCAATCACAAAATTTAAATTTCTCGACGTTATTTATTCATCGTCTCTAGTAAAGAATAATAAATTTTACCTTTTTTTACCCTGGGTCAATGGAATTTTGGTCGAAAATTGATTGGAAAAACACCACACTCAACAACCCTTTGAATTTCTCACAAAGAAGGCACTTTTTCCAAATCGCTGTTTGTCTGGAAAAAAACAAAAAATGATATCTTTTCTAGTCTTATTCACCCATTTTTAATGATTGCTACGTTTATAATTAAATTAGACTCAAAAATATTTGCAAAATTTTCTGTTTTCTATTTTAGGTAAACATAACCTAAAAACAAATTATATTTTTCTACTTAAATTATTACTTATTCTGAAAAAAAATTAAGTAATTCAAGTAAAAAATAGCTCAAAAAATGTTTGAAACAGAATTACTTTGTAAACAAACAAAAAAATTGCAACATCATTCAAGTCATTTTTCAAGCTGCATTTAAATGGAAATTTCTATCAGCAACCAAGAAAAATATTTATTCAGAGTATAATTTATTCATTATTCTAGTAGAAACTACTAAAATATACCTTTTTTTGATGAAAACGGAGTAGATGTGAGGAGATTTACTGCAGAAAACACTGAATCGTAAACACAAGTGTCAATGACAAGAAAACAAAATGGCGGACGCTGACTTTTGTGGACAAAGTTCATCCTTCTGCCGCTAGATGGCACTGGTTTCAAATTTGTTAAAAACCTGCAAATGTAAAATTTACAAAAAATAACATTTTTTTACTCAAAATAGTAATATTTTTGTAAAATAATAAATATTGCTAACTAATTTGCATAAATAGTTAACTCAAATAGTATTTTTAATAAAATTAGAATGCAGATGGCAAAATGTCGGAACATTGTTGACGTGATTTTTCACATTGCATATTTGTATAAATTCTGGTTTGAAATCAAGAAATATTTGCATTTTAACATTAGAAATTAGTAGAATTCATATAAAAATAACAATTTATACCATTTTTAGCCATATTCTACATGGATGTCAGCGGATGCAGTAAAAAAACACGGAGCTCCAAACGACAAGCGACACTGACGTCAGAATCTATGATTCAAAATGGCGGACGTCGCTTTTGTGGACAAGCTTCCACATATCCCCGCTAGATGGCGCTGCCTTCGATTTTCTAAGTTGTAAATGTAAAATAACAAAAATTAATTATTTTTACTCAAATTAAGTAACATTTTAGTAAAATAATAAATTATTACTAACTAATTTACATAAATAGTTAGCTGAAATGATATTTTTAATGGAATTATAAATGCAATGTCAAAATGTCGCAACATTGTTGGCGTAATTTTTCACATTGCATATTTGCCTAAATTATGGTTCGAAATCAAGAAATATTTGCTTTTTAACATTATAAATTATTAGAATTCATATAAAAATAACAATTTATACCATTTTTAGCCATATTCTACACGGATGTCAGCAGATTCAATGAAGAAATACGGAGCTGCAAACGACAAGCGTCACTGACGTCAGCATCTATGATTCAAAATGGCGGACGTCGTTTTTGTGGACAAGTTTCCACTTTTTACCACCAGATGGCAGTGGAAAAAATTTACTGAAAAATTAATAAATATACATTAAAAGTTATAAAATAAATTAACTAAATCTTTCTTTCTTTATTTTTTTGAATAAAAATTTGCTATTGTTTTTTAAATAACTGAATATATTATTTTCTATTAATACCGGTAAACATAACCTTCAAATGTATTGTTCACAGAATAAACCTTTTTCACTTCTATTATGCTAATATTTTAGAGAAATAGTCAAAAATTAATTAATTAAAAATAAAAGTAAATAATAGTATATAATTTTTTTAGTAAAATTATAATCAAAACACAAATGACAAGCAATTCTATTATTGTTGACATTTACGACGTTTGTATCATAAAAATGCAAATTCTGATTATCTAACTTAAACTTTCTTTATTTTCACAATATTTATTCGTCGTATTTAATAAAAATTCAAAAACTATACCTGTTTTAGCAGGATAATCACCCAATGAATGTTAATTAACAAAACAGCACTCCACTACAAACAATAACAAACGAATGCTGTTTACGGCGACAAGAGCGACAGGATAATAAAGTTTAGCGCCAAAAAAGTTGAAATATTTTGAAATTTCCATTACATAGTTGCACTTCCGTCCAACAGGTACCACTAGTGACTTCCGTACCGCTCAACCTGGGTTCCACGACCAAAGTTCGCGGGCGTACAAGTTTGTTTATAATTGTTATTATATAAATTACGATTGAAATATTATTTTATACAATAAATCCCTACTTAATTAAACATCGTTTTTTACAAGTATTTGGATATAAATAATGTAACACGTGACTGACACATGGCGTTTCGTTAAACAAGATTGATTTGCCGTCAAAGAAAATGGCGAATTTAGAATGTAAAATAATATTTACGTATTGAATTTGCAATATTAAATCTATACAGGTCAGTAAACAATTTATAATTAATAATTTCTTTCTGTTTAATTAAAAGATTTATAATACTCAAATAATAAACTTGGCTTTGTTTTGTTTTAAACCGAAATGAAAACTAACCTTAAAATGTGTTTTTATATCAATTCCGTATTGTTATTAAAATTGAAAGACAGAGCTTAGAGACTAATTTAGACTTATTTTATACATAAATTTACTATTTAATTGTTCTAGATAGAACCTAGGTATATTATATTGATAAATTTGCTATATTAGATTAAATAATTTCGTTAGAATTTTACACTCAATTGCGACAATAATTAACAAGATATATTTTTCGAATATCGAAATTAACTAATTTTAAATATTTTTACAGCAATAAAAATTATGTCATCACTTATCAATACGAAATCAGTAGATAATCTAAGGGTTAAACAAGGCGATTTTACTCTTTTACAAGGATTAGAGGTATGTTTTTATTTTTTCCACATATTTTTAAAACACAATGATTTTTTAAAAATAAATGCTGAGCAATTGTCAAATAAAAATATGTTAATTTAATTCTAAATTACAAGTTTGTCTTTAAACTTAAATTTTTTTTATTAAGGAATTTCCTGGCGACTCTTTGGAATGTTTTTCAGTCTTTGTCAGCGAAGATAGTTCTAATAATGCCGATGTTCAAGAATTGGTACTTGGAGATCAAATTTTGGGAACCACATTAACTTCTATAACATTACCCGATGGAAGTCAGGCATTCATTGCTGAAAATCTTCAAGAAAATGGTATTAACAAAAGCAAAATACTTTTTTGGTTACTTTTTTTCTATTACACGGAAAAAAAATCATTACCTGGAACAATGGAAAGAACATTACCTGGAGAAATTTTTAGTTGTTTCAATAAATACTTTCGCTATTCTAGAGAAACTTATCGCTGTTCCAGGGGAAATTTTTTTCCGTGTAATATTTGCAAAAACTGAAATTATACAATAAAATGTTATAAGGATTATTGTTATTTAAGAACTCGATTTACTTTACAGAATCCGAATCGAAAGATTCGCAAGAAGCGGAGACAAGAGGGGCTATTTATCTAAAAGATGGAGAATTGTTGCAAGTACAAGTGGATCCAATGACATATCTTCAAACCCAGACGGATAATACGAAAGAATCATATCCTCAGGTTCAAGTAATTAATGGCGCAACCTATGTGCTCGCTAGTCAATTTGATGAAGAAGTTTGGCAAATTGAAGATGGAAAATTGACAAAAAAAGACGAAGTTCTTTTAAATAAACGCGTAGTTCATAAATTTAGAGCGCAACATCCTTGTCCTAGGGAAGGATGCACCAAAGTCTACAGTACTCTTCATCATTTAAAGGTATCTTCAATTTTTGGTCCATTTCATTTAAATATTAAAAAAATTCTTCTTATCGAATATCTATTCATTTTCGTTGGAAAATTCTTTTTCGACCCTTTATTTCACGTTTAATTTAATTTCTCTGCTTCTAAATATAAAATCTTTTTCGCAGGTCCACGAACGCTCACACACTGGATACAAGCCGTATAGATGTAATTATTCAAAGTGTTCAAAGACTTTTTCGACTGGTTACAGTCTAAAGGCTCACATACGAACACACACTGGGGAGAAACCCTACGTTTGTGGATTTGATTCTTGTAACAAGAAATTTAAAACATCGGGCGATTTATTAAAACACGGAAGGACTCATACTGGCGAACGTCCATTCGTCTGTCCTGTTGAAGGTTGCGGAAGGTCTTTTACTACCAGCAATATTCGTAAGGTGAGAAAAATCCAATTTATTTCAGAGGAAAATTTTTTTTTTAAAAGGTATTTTATTTTGAAAAAAAAATGTTGTAATTAATTAGTTAATTAATTAATTAATTATCTAATTAATCTTTTACAGGTACACGTGAGAACACACACTGGCGAACGTCCGTACAAATGTCCTGAACCCGAGTGCGATAAAGCTTTCGCAAGTGCCACAAATTACAAGAATCATTTACGCATTCATTCTGGAGAGAAACCCTACGTTTGTTCAATGAAAGATTGCGGAAGACGTTTTACGGAGTATTCTAGTCTTTATAAACATCATTTGGTAAGACTTTGGGATAAAATCATTTCCTTACAATTTTTCTCTTGCTATTTAAATATCTTTAAATATTTTGTTAAATATAAAATTCTTTGAATATTTTTGAATATTAAACAATATTTTCAAATGTTAAAATAAATAAATATTTTCTTAAATATTAATTTTGATTCATCTTTTCTTCAGGTTCATACACAACAGAGGCCTTTCGAATGTAAAATTTGCTACAGAAGATATCGTCAAAATAGCACTTTAATTATGCATAAAAGAACTGCTCACTCGTTAGTAGAAACTGAGAATGGAACCGATATTTATTTAGAAACTACCTCAGACTTGAATGATTCCACAAAGCAAAGTGTAAGTTTTTTAAATATTTAAAATCTTACCTTAAAACCTTCCAGAAAAAAGTTACATTTCAAATCTTAATTTCAATTTTTCAATTTTAATCAAAAAGAAAAAATAATTTTTTCAAATGATTATCAGAATCTGATGTTAAGCAAAGCCGGACAATTTCAATATTCAGACGATTCCTCAGACAATGAGACACAAATTCTTTTTGTTGGAGATCCAACGCAAATCGCTGCCTTACAGGTACAAAAACAATAATTTAAGTTAAAAGAGATTAAAATAGAAAGAAGAAGCTTTATAATAACTTTAAATAATTATAAATTATAGCAAATGGGAATGGAAGGGGGCTTCGGTGATTCTTCCATCGATACTTCCTTGGATTCTTCCTTAAACATAAAAATCGAGGACATTGGACTCGAATGGAACTAGGATTTGAAGCCATTTTTGTAAAAAAAAAAGAGAAAATATTGTGCATTATTAATTCCTAGTAATGTAAGGAAAAAAGGCTGTATTAACTTTTATTAACGAAACTGCGTAGCGGTATATATAATTTCAGTAGATTTTAAATATCAATTCTACAAAGCATAAGGATTTTTAATCCAAATATCATTTTTAAATTTTCATTTTAATTACGCAGTACTTCTAGTTTTCTATGTAAACTAGCGAAACTTTAAAGAAAAATAAATTTGACAAAATTAATGTTTCATATCAAATTCTTTTATTGAAATTTCAGTTAATTTTATTTATGAATAACAATCGAATAATGAGAATTCATTCGATTTATACACTATACTAATGATGAATAATTATTTAACATTTATAATTTAAATTTTTTCTTATTTAACATTTATTATTTAAATTTCTACTTATTTAACTTTTCTAATTTAAAATTTATTACTCAACTTTTTTCTTATTTAAAATTTAATATTTTAATTTCTCACTTTAAATTTAATTACATATTTTAACTGTCTTATTTAGTAATAATTGTTTTTTTAAAAATTGTTAGTTGATAAATTTATTAGTTAAAAAGCCTATTTTTTACAATTTTCAGGAATATTATAAATTAATTAATTATTAATAATTTTCAGGCACGTGAAAAAGTTTAAAAAGAAATCTTCATATTTTTTGCAAACTTTATTAAAATTTCTTTTATTTTTAATTCTTACATTTCAGAGCAAAAAAAAGCTTATTCGCAATTCCTTGAACCACATTTGCTATGGACCGAAGAAACTTTAATAATAATTAAAACGGTATTGTTGTATTACCGCTATGCGTCAGATACGTGATAAAATAATTCATTATTTTATAGAAATTCAATGATTTAATTTGTGGAGAGCAAAAAAAAAGCTCGATTGACAGGAACTAGAATCACAAGGTCACTATAATTTCTTAACGAAAGCTTATTAAATAGGTATCGGAAAAAAAATTTTCAATTTTTAATAGACAATACATTTTTTTTCTATTTTCAAAGTGTTTGAAAATTTAGAAACAATATTGCCAAAAATATTTTATTATTGTCAATAATTTATGATAAATCAAATAATTTGATTTTTCATATTTTTTTATAAGAAAATTAATAATTTGATTTTAATTCACAATAAATAATGGAATAATTTTCATTTTTTTCAGAAAAAGAAAAATTAAATTAAAGTTAAAAAAAATTCCTATTGAAATAACGAATTTTTTTTAACAAATTCGATTTAATTTGATTAACACCTTTAGATAAAATCGAAGAATAGTGAAAGATTAGATTTAAATTCATCAGATTTGAAGTATAATTTAGAAGTATAGATAATAAAAGTAGTTTTTCTTTGATAAAAAAAAGGAATATTTATTTTTATTGGAAAAATGCGTTTTTTTCGAATCAATTAGAAATAAATTTTCATTTTTATTGTGTTAGCTTGAATGAAAAATGAAATCAGCTTCTAAGGACCAATTTTTTATTCAGGAGATGTGCCAGAAGTTGAAAGAAGTTCCGGTTTCCCATTCTCCCACCATCCGGAAGACCTTCCTCGATGGGAATAATAATCGGAGCTCGACGTCGCAAAATAGTCTTCGTTCGGCTAAGTGCGGTATGCCTTCGATGTTGGACGCCCCGAAAAATGTTCGACAACATCGTATCCTTTCGAATATATTTTATTATAAATATTTCGAAGACGTGCGCTTCTGACCGAAAGTAAAGATGTCACACATTGTTATCGTATCGCCGATCATCATCGTTGCGACCACGTGTACCATTCCCACGAGGCTCTGTGTCTTAAATTTTCACTTTGATATCCGATCGAGAGTGAAAGATCTTGACAGAAAGATCGATAGAGCGCACCTGCCGAGATTTACAGTCGTTTCATGATTATTCCTGATGCACATTATATACACAGGGAGTCAGGTAAGAGTAAAACAAATTCAATTGTAATGGACCATTCATAAATTTACCAAATTTATTTAAATTTTTTTTTTTGCAATTTATTGCTAATACTCTTTTTTTTCTTTCTATTGTTTGTTGCGATTAAATTCTCTCTACTTTGTTTCATTCGTTACCAACGATTGAAAGTAATTCAATCCTGAATTATTTTGTCAATCACTGTCGATTTTAAATCTTTAAAGTAGTTTCAAATTTATCGTTTTTTAACCTTTTTTCCGATTATTAATAATTACATTTTTTTTGTCTAGATATTTAACATAAAAATTCCGAATTGAGAAGCGAAATATTTAGTGGATCATCACAGTTAATTTATTGACAAAATAATTCCCAATCATGAAAATATTTAAAACGGAATAAAAATTTGATAATGAACTTGTTAGAAGAATTTGTTTTATTAGTTTAGAAAAAAAAAAATTCAACTCTGAGATATATCTCAAAAGTCAAACTCGCAATGTATGAGGATGATAAGCCTCGGTATAAACCGCGTATTAAATGCCCACTGATTTCTGTACACACTAACAAACTGGGTCGTCTTATAAACGAGATAGAAAAAGTATATCACTTTAATGAACCATCCAATTATAAAATTACGAGAGATTAAATCTTAAACTCTTCCAAAAAAAATTTTTTTATCACTAATATCGAGTGTTCATAAAGAAAAGGATTTTTATTGAAAAATAATTAATTTTAATTAACAAAAGAAAAATCAAGAATTTAAACAGTACCGAAACTTATTCGACATCGTGTATATTTAAATTCCCTTACGACGATTAATTAATTATCAGCGATGTTGACCTTCATAATCTCAAGTTTGTTTATAACTTATTTTTCTCTAAAAGCAACCTAGAATCAAAATTCGTAAACTGATACAATTTTAGTTAAATTAAATTTTAATATTACTGAAAATCGTGATTTTGGATTTTATTTTTTTTTTGCAAAAACTTTATTTCTATTTTCTGGCGAAAAAAAAAATTAAAATTGTTTCGCTAACATAGTTATTAACTACCATTTCTAGAAAGATAAGCAATTTGTTTTCTTCCTAAAGTTCTGAACGTTCAAATGAACGAAAATTTTTTTCTATTTAAATATTTTCAAAAATTACTTTAACAAAATGAAATATAAAATGAATTTTAGAATTCTTTGGCGAAGATTTACTTTAATAAAATGAAATATAAAATAAATTTAAGAATTATTTTAATAAAATGAAATGTAAAATAAATTTAAGAATTATTTGGTGAAAAAATACTTTTTTTATTTCTAAAAAAATATAATTATTTTTAATGAAATTCAAATGTAAACGAGGAATCAAAATTATTGTTGCTGATTTGAACGTTCGGAACTTTAAAAACATTCGTTGACAATTCTGGACTAATTTCCTTAAAACTAAAATTTTTAATTTTAAATAAAAGTAAAAAATATTATTTTCATTATCATTATTTTTTTTTATTATCGATATTATTATTCTATTTTATTCTATTTTATTTTTATTCTATTTATTCTATTTTACATTATTATCTTTTTTAATTAATAAATTTATTAAATCTTAGAATAATTCCAAAATAATTAAACATTTAGAAAAAAAAAATGAGAAAAACGAGTTCAAATTCAATGTGCGAACATTTACGCTCACGTGATGATTAATTAATATTAATTTTCTTGCATGCTTCATGCGTTGCAATAAATAAGAAAAATAACGATTGTCTGAGAAAAATTTTATTTTATTTAAAAGCCACGAGACTAAAATTATTTCTTTCTTCAAATAGAATATGTTTTTTTATTAAAATTTATCATCTCTCTGTCTATGATTTATCGGACATAATTGTTTCATAATAATCGACCGTGACGATTTCTAAAGTGATTTCCTTTTTCGAAATGTTAGGACATTGATTCGCCTCATGTTAATAAATAATAATGTGCGCTATGCCACGAATTATTCAATGAGAATCCTAATCATTCTTTTATAACAAATATTTAATTTTTATATTAAGAAAATTATATCAAGTATTTAATTTAATTTTGTTCAATAAATGGGTTTACAAAATTTTTAATGTTTATATTAAGAAAATTATAGAAGAATTAAATAATTAGCAATTACCTGGAATTTAATTAATGAAGTGTGGATTTTTATTCAATTCTTATTTCTTTCTGACGAAAATTGAGAATGGTTTGGTTAATTAATTTCATTCTTTATTATTAACTAGATAAAGTTTATTTATCCGTATTTATTTTAAATATTAAAATAATAATATTAAAATTTAATATCTCTTATTTATTTTTATTATTCTAATTAATAATCTTTTTAATAATTAGTATTTATATTTTTTGATTTATAATTTATAAAATTGTAAAAAAGATAATAAAAATAATGTTATTACTTATTAAATAAGTAGATACGGTAAATTTATTTTAATTATTGTAATTAATAATTAATACTCTTTGAGCCAAAATCGAGTTTTATCGTCACATACATTTTGCAGTTTAGTTTTTTATTTTAATGCGGGTCATCGCAATTTCAGTGATCAGAAATCAGAATTTTTACATGAAATGATTTTTCATGGTCGTCTGATATTAGACATATTATGTATTTCTAGCTATCTCGTGGTTTGCTTAACAAACAATTAGGTGAATTAGTGTAAATGAGACTAATAGAACCACCAACGCTATCGAGTTCTCTAACAGGAACTATAGTATTAAAAATTATAAACACACATTTTATAAAATTATTAAATTCTTCTACTTCTTCTTTTATACATTTTTAAAAATTCTTATCTCTTTTCTTACAAAAACAAAAATAATACACCTATTCCAATTCACCTAATTAACTTCAACCACATAAATCCTTGGTAATATGTAATAAAAAAAAATTAATTACCAGTTAAAATGATTCAGAATCTCTGTCATAAAAAATAAACGTTTCATTTAGTGTAAATCTTCTTCTCTAAAATAAAATTAAAAAACCATTAGTTAAAAAAGCAATTATGCTCTCAAATCGAAATTATTTCTCTGCAAAAAATTGAAAATTTTGAATATAAAATGCAAAATTAAAAAAAAAACTCTAAAAATAAAATTCTTTTTAGTAAAAAAACAATTGGTCTTCGTTTCTATAATTTTCTGTCGAAAAATAACTAAAATTCACCAAGTGAAGGAGCTAAAAATTAATTTTGCAAATAATTTTTTTTTACTTTTCTTGAACTAAAATTAAAAATCGAAAAAATTGATGAGTGTAGAAAAAAAATATTTAATCTCTTTGTTGAAGTTCTTAGATAGCTTGTCAAAATCTGTTTGTGGAACTAATCTTTACTGAAAAATATTTGGGATAATGATTAAGGAAAAAAAACGATTTTTTGTTTTATAATAGAGAACAAAAAGGCTGTTAAAGAGAATTTTTTGATGTTAAATTTGTCAATGAAGTGCAAATAAGTAAAATACTCAAAAAAAAAGAAAGAAAGAAAAATATAGTTCACGAGCGTCAAATATAGAATTGGAATGACTCGTATTGTCAAACAAGATCATCTTTACTCATCGTCATCTCATAAATCACCTAGTTTTGACGTTTTCACTAGAAATCAATTGATTCACTTTATATATTCACACACACACACAAGTTTTATTTATTCTATCGATCGTTTTTCACTTTGGATCGACAGAATATTTCTGCATTTGTCTCTAAACATGCAAATTTACAGTGTATATATAAATGCAAATTAGAATAGAATAAAAACAAAAAGTCAAGTCATAACTTGAACCTGTTATTCAATTAGGCAAAAGGTAGATGTATTGTTTTAATTCGCGTTAAACTAGAAAGTTATTTTTTTTTATCTTAGAAATTTTTTTCTTTATTTTGATTGTACCAATTTTTTTGTATTTGATAAAAATATTTTCCTTTTTAAGTAATTTTGTAATTTCTTGTAATTAAAAAGTAATTTTTTTTTCATTAAATTACAATTTTTCGGTAAAAATTAAATTTTCTGAATTTTAATGCGAAAGAGTTGAGACGAACAGTAAAAAATTTTTTTTTTCGAAAAATGGTAATTTTAGTAATTGGGAAAGCAAAGTTAAGGATTATTCTTTATTCTTGTCCCTCAAGAGGTCAGTTAGCGAATGAGTTTAAATATTCTCTAAGGTAACAATCTGTAACAAGGTCGAGACTCGAAGACGAATCGGGAGACGAGAAATAAATTTTTTTTTGAGAATCGTCTACCAATCCGGTGTCGAAATTTCTTTTGCACAAATTTGCGCACATACCCTGCAATGCTTCATATTCTCATCATTTACGAATTTTATTATTACAAGTGTCTTAAAGCTGAAAGTAAAAGTATCTCTACTTCTCCGAGTGTAGTTACCAATTTTTTTCGCCTTAAAGAATGGAAATTCATTTTTTAAAACTATTTTAGAAAAATTATTTTTTTTAATAAATTAATTGATAATTAATTAATTTTTTTTAAATTTCAGTAACGAATTGAAAGCTGCCAGGGTGGAAGTGAATGAGAATAGTAAACGAGGAAGAAAAGGACTGATCTCGAGTAATCCTGTTTTATTGTTAATCGAAAAAGAAAACCCTGGGTTATTGATAACTGTATATATACAGGAGACTATCGAAGAAGATAACGAGTTCTCATTAAAAGACCATCGTCAGAGATAAAAGGTTTTTTTTTCCTACGAAAACTCTTGAGAAATCTGAGTGTCCAGGAGTGTCAGTGAGAAATATAGTTACGTTTGAAACTAATGAGTTTCTAATCAATCTGCGATGATGATTTCGTGACGAAGGTTTTTATCGGCCTCGAGGAAGAGCCGCTTTAAAGGATTATTACCAAAAGGATTTTATAAATTTTATATAGTTTATATTAGATTGTTTTCACCTTCCGGAGGAACATGTCCAAGAAACAATGGATGGTCCTGTTGATGCTATTCTTGACCTACCTTCTTGTGGGGGCTTCAATTTTTTACCATATCGAAAGTCGCATTGAGGTCGAAAATATCAAAAAGGCCCGAGAAGAACGCATCGAAATTCACGGTGAATTTTATATTTTTTATTTTATAATTTTTCTTTTATTCATTAATCAATTTTTATTTATTAATATTTTTATTTTCAATTTTTATTTTTAAAATTTAATCTCTTCTTATTTTGAAGAAGAGAAATCTCTTCTTATTTCTGTTCTCACTTTTTATTTCTACCAAAAAATAGGCTAAAAAATAAATAATTGTGAAATATAGAAAAAAATAACTATTACAATCAAAAGTTGTTTTTAAATTAATAATTTAACTCGTAAATTTTTAATCTTTCTCGCTTAATCTATTTAGACATTTATATTGATAAAATTTTTAATTTCATTCGGTGTTAAATGATTAGTAAATATAGTTATGATATAAACAAAAAATCATTTTTATTCGAATTTATTTTCATTTCATTTGAAATCAAAATTTATAATTTTATTTTTCTATAAACAAAATGTTATTTTTACTATAGAAAATTTTCTCTAAAAAAGGGACGAAATCCCTTTTCGGTTTCAATTTACATACGTCCTGGTATTCATCATCAGAATAAGACCTTTCACGGAAAATAGAACAGAGAATACACGATGTAAAATATACGAGCGGTTTTAAATCAAAAGAATTACATTACAAATATATCAGAATTACAGATGATGTCTAATCCAGGACATTTTTCCTCTCTTCTTTTGTAAACTATAGAATATTCTTCATAATTTTAATAATTCAGAAAAATTCTGTTTTTTAAAAGAGTTAAAATAGAATTGAAAAAGAAGAACAGTTTTAATATTTATTTCTTCAATTAACGTGCTGGAAGTATTTTAAAATGGAAATTCTTTTTTTTTCAATTAATTGCGTAAACACGAAAAGTGTTTAAAAACAATATTTTAAAAAACTACTTATTCACATAAAGAATTTAACTTTCGACGTTTTAAGAATTGTAAATTTAAAATTATTCTTCTTCCTTGATTGGGTCATAATTTTCATTCTTCTCGCGTAGAAGTGCAAAATTGCGAGGAATCAAAAAAAAGAATAAATATTACTATTCTTAAATCACTTTTATCACTTCTTTGGCATATTCTTAAAAAATAATTTTTATTTTTATTTTTATTTTTTTATCAATTAGAAATTTTTTTTATTATCTTTTTTTCTCTCTTTGATATTTGGGGAATTTTCATTAATTTTGAAAACAATCAATTACGCAAATGATATTTATTATTGTCAAAAATATAAATGATAATTTCTATAATTGAGATGTGAGTAAACAAGCTAATGAGTCATTTTCTCGAATAATTATACTTTATAATTAATATACTATTGGGCTTATATACTCTCGAATAGTAAAATTATTCTTCGATTTTAATATGTATGGCATATGTCTTTAGTATTTCAAAGAATGGAAGGCTATGGTGACAGTTTCACAATGTCATTTGGTACAACAGATAACCAGTGTCAGTGTCATTATGACTCTTTGATGAAAGAGTGAACAATGTCACCACTCCCTTAATTCACAACAATTTATGGCATTGAATGTCTCACAGACTTTTATTCACTTTGATCAGAATCAATTGTCAGGACCATGAACCCATCCAATTCGTCAATAGGAAAAAACTTCCTGATTAGAAATCTATACACACCTATTTTTTTACAACTTCCTTTTTGTTCGATTCTACAAAAAAATTCTATTTTTACTGGTTTATTTCAATTTTTTGCAAAAATTTTACGCCTTGCTGATTTAAATTACAATGAGGATAATTTATTTTCTTTGTTAATTTTTTATTTGTAAATTAAAAAATATTTTCTTTCTGTATATAAAAAAAGTTAGATTCCTAATTAAGGGGATTAAAGTTTTTGTAGTTTATTTCAATGATCAATTGACATGTAACTTACATAAGTGTAATGCTTCCATAAGCGAAAGATAAATAATTTCTCTATCAAAATCAAAAGATCTAAGTGAACAATCAATAATAATAAAAATTTTCCGTATCTGGGACTTAACGATTAATTTCTCACATCTGTTTAATTAGCTTTATTTAAAAAGCCAATGCATTATGTAATACGAAGCACTTTGTGTATGTAAAAATTAGTATTAATTTTGCACTTAGAAAATAGTTAATTATACAAATCTTCATTAATAATCGTTGTATTTTGGTAAAATATTCGCAGTTTGAAGCTAGTTGTTCACTTTTTGTTTCAAAACATTTTAAATAATTTTTCTCTTGAAAGTTTTCAATTTTTAAATTAATGTATTCAAAATAATTAAATTCCTGCAAAAAATTATTTTAATATAATTGAATTCCTTCAAAAAATGTTATTATTTATGAAAATAATTAAATTCTTAAGAAGAATTCTATTAGTTTTTAATTATTAATTAATTTTAAAAAACCTAATTAAATGACTTTGAAGAATTTTTCTGAATTTTTTTAAAGAATGGAGTTTCTGTAAATAATTTTCAGAATTTCTTTCAAGTTTTTAAAATAATCGTATTTGTTAGTAATTGAAATTAAATATATACGATTATTGAATTTTATTAATACTTTTAGAAAATAATTAAATTCTTCTTAGAATTTTATTACAATTTTTTAAAACAATTTAATTCTTTCAAAGAATTTTATTAAAATATTGAAAATAATTGAATACTTTTCAAGAATATATTCTATTAAAGGTTTTAACAATAATTCAATTCTTTCAAAAAATTTCTTTAATTTTTTAAATTTATAATCGAATTTATTAATAATTGTATTTAGTACCTAATTTTACTATTAAATTTTATTAAAATAATTGATAAATTAAATTTTTAATAATTTTAATTGAAAGTTTTGAAAGTAATTAAATTCAATATTAAACAAATAATTTTTTTTCATCTTTTTAAAATAATTGTGGCTGTTAATAATTATAGTTAAAAATTTGATTACTGAATTTTATTAAAATTTGTATTGAAAATAATAAAATTCCTGAGAAGAATTTTATTATTCATAAAGTAATTTAATTCTTGCGAAGAATTTTATTATTTATAAAAATAATTAAACTGTTTCAAAGAATTTATTAAAATTGTAGAAAATAATTGAATTCTTTTCAAAAATTTTTAAATTACTTGAATTCTTTAATTAAATTTTATTAAAATTGTATCGAAAATAATGGAATTCTGGCAAAGAATTTTACTATTTATAAAAATAATTGAATTTCTCCGAAGAATTTTATTAAAGTTTTTAAAAAATAATAAACAATAATCTGTAATTAATTATGTTCTTAATAAGTGGATTTTTTAAATTTTTAATCTGAAATTATTCAAAAATTGAAGTTTATATTTGAAAATAAAAAATTAATAATTTGCATAATAATAATAATAATAATAATAATAATAAATGGAATATCATGTTTCGCGTGCGTAACATTTGCCAGTTAGTTTATAAACTAATTTACAAACTAATATTGATTCAAACGGAAAATAAAAATAGCAAAAAAATAGAAAACTTATTAAAATAATAATAATTGTGAATAAAATGCAATTTTTTATGAATTAGAGAATTAAATTTTCTCCCTTGTAGAGAATTATCTTGAATACATTCTGAAATATGTTAAGAAATTATTTTCAAGGCAAACACATTTCGAAATTTCTTAATCCTCATTTTTATTCTCTAAAAATTGTAAATTTTTTTCATTTCGTAGAAATGCCGAATTGCTTTACATTTTCAAGATTAATTACAGCGATAAACGAGAAATTATTATATATTTCTCAGCACGTGCAAAAATAAATTTTTCTCTCTCTCAACGATTATAAACAATGTATATGAACATTGACATTATTTCTTAAATTGATTTATATGTTAACACGTCTGTTATTATCCAATTATGTAAATGCAGGAAGTGAAAATTATACTATTAATCATTTATAAAAAATAGTTTGTACAATCGTCTTTTGAAACTCTTGTTTTCGTTTTATTTTTTTTAATGTGTTCATTTTTTCTAACACTTGCACTTGCTTAGCTCTTTTTTAACTGACCAATTGAACAAACTGACAATGAAGTTAGTAAATAACAACCTGATAAGATAATGACTATGTAATTGTCTAGAAGATAGCCTTCTTAAAAAAAAAATAAAACTAATGACACAGGATCAAAATTTAACGAAATTGCCAAATATTAAATTGTAAACTTTATGTAAAAATTTATTACACATGCGTGTGATATTTTTATTGAGGATATTTGAGTCATAGACTAAAAAGAATTTATAAATTTTTGACGTCAACAATTTATAATCATAATTCATATGAATGATTTTCTGATTCAGAAAAAAGTCCCTTCTATATAATGATTATAATCTTTAATTCTTAATATTCAGAGGTTTATCCTTATTGATATTTTGTTTCAATAACAGGAAAACAAACAACAAAAATCCCTTTTTTATAATTTCTCATATATTTTACTAATTCTTTAAAAAAAAATGTTTATACAATTTTTTTTTAAATTCTTATTTCTATGAGGATTTTTATCTTAGAAATTTCCAAGTGTCAGCTAACAAGTTTCTCATTTTAAATGTATTCAAAAAAATTTGCAATTAGAACTCGTATAAAACCAGAAATAAATGGAATTCATTTTTGAATCGTAGTTAAAGTAGATTGGAATGTTGTTTTAGAATTTATTTTTTAATTCAAAGACGTTTAACATACTATAACAAAAAAATATTAATATTTGCAAATTTTTTCGCAGCTTTGCTGAATCAACATTATATGCCAAATAATCCAGCTGATGATCATCGAGTGATTTTGGAGAAGTTGAGCAGCTATTGTGGAAAATCATTTCACAATTATTCGGATGGCGAGACAGATCAATCGAAATGGGATTTTTACAACAGTTTTTATTTTGCTTACACAGTTGTCAGCACAATTGGTAAGTTATATTATTTTTTTAAGGCAAAAAGAATTTTATTATTATTTAGAAATAAGAAAAAAATTTTACATTTAAAATAAAACGCAAAGTTCACCTTTTACTATTAAGAAAGAAAAAAGTAGTTTTTTAATTAAACAAATTGAAAAATAATTATTTATAATTAAAAAATTAAAGGATAAATTGATGAAAAATATTTTTCGATACATAGGTATTGTTTTTAATTTAAGGATATGGAAATTTGGCACCAACCAATATGCTGGGTCGTGTTTTAATGATTTTTTACGCTCTTATTGGAATACCGATGAATGGAATTTTATTAACACAATTGGGCGAATTTTTTGGTCAGGTCTTTGTTAAGGCGCACAAAAAATACAAATCATATCAACATGATCAAGCTGTTTGCGAGAAGAAAGTTAAAAAACCCTTGGAAACTAGACGAGCAGGACTTGCTATGCAAATTTTTATGTACCTGATACCTGGCTTTGTTATGTTTATATTTTTCCCAGCATTTTTATTTTCTCACTACGAGGGTTGGACATATGACGAAGCTGTTTACTATGCATTTGTCACACTAACGACTATAGGTTTTGGCGATTATGTCGCAGGTGAGAAATAATTTCTATTTTTAATTTTCCAATAATAAATCATCTCATTTTAAACACTTCTATTTTATTCATGTCTATTTAATGTTCTTTTTTTGAATTTTTTTTCAATTCTTTCAAATTATTCATCAATTTAATTTCAAATTTAGAAATTTTAGAAAATTTTAATTTCAACAATTCAGAGTTAATGGTATTTTAACATATTAAGTGCCGATGGCAAATATTTTTGCAGTCAAATTATCTTTACCATGGCACTTAAGCACTAAAATTTGAATCAAAATAGATTCAAATAATTCATTAAAAATAAATTTTAAAGTAGTTGAAAAATTTTTTTTTCTATTAATGAGTTATTAAATTTTTGAATTTGATTTATGCTTGTCAGGGAAAACTTGTCTCAAGTAAGTAAAAAAAGGAACCTCTGAAGACAAAAAATATTCGCTAAGAAAAAAATTTATGAACGTTAATTTTATTGATGAAATTTTTTAGGTCAAGACAATACGAAGGGAAGTGGTGTATTTTTCATTTTATATAAGATCTTTTTAATTTTTTGGATCTCATTTGGATTGGGTTACATTGCTATGATCATGACCTTCATTGCTCGGGGAATGCGGAGCAAAAAAATTGCAAGAATTGAGCACAAACTGGCCATGAATTTCAAGCATACACAAAACAAAATCTGGAACGAATTCAATAAAGAAGTCAATTATCTCCGAAGGGTTTTCAATGAATTACAATTATCAAAAGTGAAGGTAATTACTTTTTCTTCGTTATTATAATTATGTTAAATTAATTCTTTTAATTTAGGATTTTATTTCTCTAAGATTTATCTCTTTCTTAATAAAGAAATTATTTGCTAATTTATTTACATTTTTTTGAAGATTTGAAAATAAAAACATTTTTATAAATATTTTTTACACAGAGAGTCTACGTGGATGAGTATGATTACGATTTACCAACTCCCAAATTTCCAAGAAGTATTAGCTTTCCTGATTTGAGAGAACTTATCTATGGAGGATTTGAGATTCCTGAACCTCCTCATCCTAGAAGGAGAGCAAATAGTGAAATTACGTCTATGGTGAGATTTCTTCTTTTTTTAACCATGTAAAAAAGGGGAAAGAAATGTAAAAAAAATTTGAAATTTTCCAGGTTCGAGTGGCGAGAGTCGTTTCGGAAACGGATCTTCAGCGAATCGACAAGAAGGCAACATTCGCAGCTCACGCAATGGTCCAACCGGCGGAGCTTTTAGCGCGTTTAGTAAATATTTTAGGCTACATTCCACCATCGGATGATGAGGAGGAATCAAAGATTAAAGAAGGAGTTCAGGGTTTCAGTGAGAAGGAAATTCTCGCCAGTGAACAACCATGGTTGAATAACGATTGGAGAATTGGAAATGATAAAATACCATTTTCAAAACCAAGATCGCGAGCCTGCAGTGAAGTGAGATTAGAAAAACCAGACACGAGTTATCTTCAGGAAAATGAAGAGTGGACATGGTCAGGTCCAGCGGCTTCGAGAAAAATTCAAGAAATTATGAAAACACGTCGATCGGGAGTTCCGATAGTCAAAGATCTCAAATCCAAATTACCATCTCTGGCATTGCCCAAGTCCGTTCCAAAAAGTTTCCTTCCACGATGGATGAGAAGTTTATCAGTGAAGAAATCCTCCGATGCTTGCTCTAGAAGTACAGTTTCTGTGGGAGAAATCGACGATAACGATCGTGATGTTCTGCAACAGCAAATGAATCAACAGGATTCGACAAATTTTCAGAATCGTGCGTATTTTACTCACACTGGAGCTGGAAATACGGGTCTAGGGGGTTTGTTGGAAGAGACTTCGTTGGCTGATTTTCTCCGGGTGCTATCCAGAGTAGGCGCTGATGATTACTCCAGAAAACCTCCAGCAGAGACAGGGGAACCACCAAAACTTCCAAGTCTCTTCACACTTTTCTCACAACAATCGGATCTTGCTTCTGCTAGTCAAAGTCAACAGAATACAATCACTGCCGCTCATAATGCAGCTTCCAGAAGGTATTCCTTGAGAACTGTTGACAATTCCAGTACGTCGACTCCACTTTATGCGAGAAGGAGTTACGCTCAACCACCGGTGACAAAAACAAGAAGGTTCTCCCTAAGACCTGTTGTCACGCCGCCTCTGTATTCATCCACCTATCTGGTAAGATTTATCTTAACCTTTTCATCATTTTCAAAATTATTTAAGTTCAAATTTCAGGGTTGCTACAAAATTTTAATTTTGTTCTTCCCCGATTTCCAGACAAAATTTTTACTTTCTCCCTGACCCTGAAGAACATCAATAACTTCTTTTTAAAATAAATATTTATCTAATCATTATTATTTTTCTATATAGGAATTAAGATAAAACTATAAATTAAAATTTTCAAAGATTTTAATTTTTTTTCAAAATTCAATTATTTCTAAAAATTCAAGCTATAATGCTTTTAATATTCAATTATTATCATAAATTTCAACTAAAATTCATTTTTAAATCAACTTTTATTAGAAAATTCTATGAGAATTCAATTATTTAAATACAAAAATAAATAATTTATTGAATAATTGAATATTTCTTAAAACTGAATTCTCGTGAAGAATTTTGTTAACAAATATTTAAATAATTGAATTCCTTCGACGAATTTTAATAAAATTTTTACGAATAATTACATTTTTCAATGAATTCGATCAAAATTGTATTAAAAGTCATTGAAATTCTGCGATAAGTTTTATTATTTATAAAAATAATTGAATCTGTACAAAAAAATATGATTATTTTTTTAAGAAAATAATAGAATCTGTATAAAAAATATGATTATTTATGAAAATAATAGAATTATTGCGAAGAAATTTATAAATAATTAAATTCCAGTGAAATTTTTATTATTTATGAAAATAATTAAATGTTTGCGTAGAATTTTATTCAAATTTCTTTTAAATAATTGAATTCTTCTGGAAAAATTTATTAAAATATATTTTAGTAGATATTGAAAATCATTGAACTGAGGACAATAATTGAAATTTTGCTAAGAATTTTATTAAGATTTTTGAAAATAATTGAATTTTAAAGAAGAATTTTATTATTTATAAAGATAATTGAAATTTGGACGAGTATTTTTCTATTTGAAATTTAATTTCTGCGAAGAATTTTGCTATTTATGAAAATAATTGAATTTTTGAAAATAACTGAATTTCGACAAGAATTTTGTTATTTATGAAAATAATTAAGTTTTTGCGAAGAAGTTTATTAACATTTTTGAAAATAATTGAATTTCTGCGAAGAATTTTGTTATTTATAAAAATAATATAATTCTTAATAATAATAATTGAATTCTTTGGGCGAATTTTGAAAAAAATTGTAAGAATAAATGCAATTTTCTAGCATTTTATTTAAAATTGTATAAAAAATAATTGAAATTCTGCGATAAATTTTGTTATTTAGGAAAATAATTAAAATCTTGCAACGAATTTTATTAAAAATTTGTTTAAAGAATTGAATTTCTGTGAAGAATTTTATTTGTGAAAATAATTGAATTCTGCAGAAAAATATTATTATTTATGAAAATAATTAATTTCTTGTGAAGAATTTTATTTAAATTTATTTTAAATAATTGAATTTTTTAAAACTTTCTAAAGATAATTAAATTCTATCTAGAAATTTCATTAAAAAATTGAAAATAATTGAAATCTGACAAAGAATTAAAAATAATTTTTTTTTAATTAATTGAATTCCTGTGAAAAATGTTTAATTTTGAAAAGAATTGAATTTTTGGGAAGAATTTTATTAAAGTTTATTAAATAATTGAATTGCTTCAAAGAATTTTATTTTTTACGAAAATAATTGAATTATTTCGAATATTTTTACAAACATTTTTGCCAATAATTGTATCCCTAGAAAGAATGATGTATTTTACGAAAATAATTGTATTCTATGACCAATTTTTTAATAATTTTTCAAATTTATAAAGCATTTTATCAAAACTTTGTAGAATAATTGAATTTTCAAAAAAAATTTTATTATTTATGAAAATAATTGATTTCTAACAAAAAATTTTATTCAAATTTTTTTAATTGATTGAATTCTCATAAAAAATGTATTATTTGTAAAAATAATTGTATTCTTAAGAAGAATTGTATTGAAAATAATTGAATTATATAGGAAAATTTTATTAAAATTGCAACTTTATTAAATAAATCTTGCAAAGAATTTTGGCAACATTTTTTTAAATAATAGAACTTTTAAAATAATTTTATTTAAATTTTTCGAAATAATTGAATTTCTCAGAATTATCTTTCTTAATTCTTTGAATATATTTGAATTCTTTGGAGAAACTTCATTAAAAATTGATATTTTCTAAAATTTTAAATTGAAACCATTGAAGTTTATCTATTTATGAATATTAGTATTAGATTTATTCTTATAAATTCTAAAAACTTAATTTTTCTAGTACTTTTAATAAAAAATCCCTGGCTTTTCCCTAACTTCTCTGACGAATTTTAATTTCCTTGACTTTTCCTGAATTCCGTGACTTGTGGCAACCTTGAATCTAAATTAATTTTTCTAAATACATTTCTCAAACAATTCTTTTCATATTTGTAAATTTTTAGAACGATCCTGCGGGACCGCCGCCATACACCAATGAGTCATTCAATGTCGAATGTCCCAAGGAGCCTCTGATGCAATTGGAAGGCGCTCTCGGTATTTCAGCACCTATAAAACCGCATCGTCGCTTCTCGATAAGACCCGCTTATCCTGATAATCCAACAATTCCCCCAGCACCACCAGCATTAACTGCACAACAAACGCGAGCAATTCCTCGCTGGCGAGCTGGAATGCTTCAACGTCAGATCAGCAAAAAGAATCTCCAGCGGCGAGTTCGTGCCTTCAGTCTCACAGACGTTCACTCCGATCCATTAGACAAACCCACCGAATCCTCAAGTAACGAAAGAAAACCATTTAATCCCCGAACTAGAGAAATACCCCCAAAATTCACCGGTCGTCAATCATTCCAAAAATCCGTCACAATCGTTTCACCGGCCCGTCAAGCATTAATTTCCCGTCTACCCGAACATTTCTACAAACGCGGTTACTCCGAGAGTGAAGTTGACTCGACAATAAACTATTCAAACAAAAATCAAGACACCGAATCAACTTCCCTATTCCCACGGGAAGATTTTCCAAAAAGGACATCCGACGATTTTTCCCAATCGTTTACAATTGGATCCGATTTTTCGGATAGTGGTGCCTTCGATACGACACGTGAAGGCGCAGTTAATCCCCGATTCGCTGGATTAAAACCCTATCCAAGTTATCAAGGTGTCACAAAACTCGCGACAGTCTATTCCGATGATCGTCTCTCTTCCCACGATCCAGACAAAAGTGACAGTTCATTCACCTCCGAGTGTGTTATTTCATTCAAGAGAAAATCAACGAGTGATATTCACGAGGGTGTAAATATGCCTAGTTCTTCGCTACAAAAACGTACTGCCGACAGAAAGTCGCACGACTCCGGTAAAAGTGAATCGTGGTCCGAATCAACGACAAGCGGTGATTTAAAGTCCAGTGAAAGGAAAATCTCAATTGTATCAATTGAGCCCTGGTCAGATTCCAGTCGAAAATCATCGACAATTTCACAAGTTCACAGTACTGAAAGTCCATTATTGTCGGAAGTCAGAATAGACGATTCTGATCAATTTAGAACAACAATGGATATTTCATTGGATGATGAAGGTTCACTTATGGAAGTTACGGTTGAGAGACCACATTCGGGACTAAGTTTTGAACCTCGACCTAGTACAAGTTCGAGTTTTGAACCTCAAGCTAGTACCAGTTCTGAACAACAGTCAAGTATTCATTCTGAACGTCGATCGAGTGCAAGTTCAGAACCCGAGACGAGTACTGAAGAAGCTAAAAAATCAAAAACAGCCAGAAAATCTTGTCCAAACTAAATGTGAGAATTTTATTTTAAGTGTTTGAATTTTTTTTATATTATTTTAAATTATTACCCATTGTATGAATGAATTAATTTTTAAATAGAAAGACTAGTTTGTTATAGACGCTGATTTCATTTCGAAACTGACTAGTGTATAGCACTTTAAATATTGAAATATCTTTAATTTCAATGCGGAGCTTCTTCGAAAAAAATTGTGATAAAATCGCCTTTAATTATTTATCTGATTCTCAGGTATTTATATATTGATATCTTAAAATGTAAATATAGAAATTCAAAAGAAGAAAAATTAAATTTTGAATATCATTTTTTTCCATCAGATGGTTTTTATTTTAATAAATGCAATAAATAAGGTTTGGTTTGCTTGTTGATAAGAATATAAAACAGTTGAACTATGTGATTTGCAATCAGAATTATTTCCGGTAGTCTAATTCTGGCATAATTGATACGCTATTCTTTTTTTGTACAAAAAAATTCTAGAGGTAAAAAAAGATATTTTACGTATCAAAAGAGTCAGAGAGTAGAAAATGCAAAGGTAATTAACAAATTAAATTATTCTTCTATCGATCATTAGAGCCAGGAAATGATCGTGTAACATGGAAGTGTAAAATTATAAACAGACTAAGGATTTGTTCGTGAATTTTCTAGCCATTTGCGTATTTCGGAGACAAGTTGATTTCTGGGAACAGATTTTTCAACTCTCGTTTGCACTTCACGAAATGTAACTTCACCTCTTTGTAATTCACCCTCGCCGATGATGATAGCCAATGGAATTTTATTTTCCTCGCAATGTTGCAATTGTGCCAGTATTTTTGGATTCTTTTTGTATGAATGTTCAGCTTTTATTCCTGCTTCCCACAATTCGATAATTACTCGCATTCTCTCGTCGCATAGATTTTTCTGAGCAACAGCAACGTAGACTTCAACTTCTGTTGTTCGTGTTCGTTGACCTTTATTCTCGAGTTTCGATTCCAAAACACTGAAGATCCTCTCAACACCAAGTGATAATCCCACGCAGGGCACATTTTTCTTTTTAGAGTCAAACATTCCCACGAGATTGTCATAACGTCCTCCACCAGCTATACTTCCAACTTCAACGTCATCTCCTGCAGACAAATTTTTATTTTTTATTAGTTTAATTATTTCATTAAATGTATTTAAATTTATATTTATTTTTCTCGATTTTATTTCTAAAACTTTCTTTCTGGTTTCTCACCTGTTAATACTGCTTCGTAAATGACTCCAGTGTAATAATCGAGCCCTCTCGCTAGACTCAAATCGAATTTCACATTGTCGCTGATATTGAAAATATCGCAGTATTTCAGGAGCGTTTCAATGGCATCGACACCTTGCACGGCATTAGACGATTTCATGAGTTCTGAATTATTTCTCAATTGCTGGACAAGTTCAATTTTACCCGACAGTGAAACGTAAGTACCAATTTTATCAGCTATCGCTCCGTCTAAATTTTTTTCCTCCACCATTTCCTTGCGCACCTCATCCCAAGGACTCTTGTCCAATTTATCCACGGACGAACAAATACTGCGAAATTGCGCTTTTGGAACGCCACACGTTTCGAATATGCCGTCCAAGATACATCGATGATTTACTTTCATTACAAATGGTCCTAAGTCTAATGACGATAAAGCCTCGTAAATTATGCGTAGACATTCAACGTCAGGTAACATTGGATCGTATTGACCGGCTATGTCAAAATCCTAAAAAAGAAAATAAGAAAAAGTTAGTTTTATACCAGAGATAAAATTAATAATTGAAAAAAGATAAAAAAGAAATAAAATAATAAAAAGAATACAAAGAAAAAGGAAAATTGCTATTTTCCTTTCTCTTTATTATAAAAAAAAGTCAGATGAATAAAAAAGAGAAATACGGAAAAATTACTCACGCATTGATAAAATTCGCGATAACGACCCTTCGTCATTGCGGGATTATCTCTTCTGTATACTTTGGCAATGTGGTACCTTTTTATATTAGTGATCTTGTTCATGGCCAAGTATCTCGCGAAAGGCACAGTCAAATCATATCTAAGTGCAAGAATTTCTCCTCCCTGATCTTTTAAATCGTAAATCAGTTTCGAATCCTCTCCATATTTCCCCGTTAAAACTTCCTGTGAAAAAAAGAAATTTATTAAAAAATATCAATTCTTCCTTAATTCTTTATTTGTTTATTTAAATAAATTTTCCTTATGCAGGATTGCCACAAACATTTAATTTTTTTCCTCTGATTTCCAGAGATAATTTTGACTTTTCCCCTCAACCTAAAAAATGTCCCCTCAACTCTAAAAATGATCAAATACTCAAAAAGATATTCTAATACAATTTTATTTGCAAATTTCTGTAAATGTAAAATTATTGAAAAACATCAATAACTTCTTTTTTAAATAAATATTTGATCGTTATTATTTTTTACAGGATTTTGAAAAAAAAATTATTTTTTTGAGTTCAATTCAATTTTTTGGAATTTTTAACTAAAATTCTTCTCTGAATCAATTATTTTTAATAGTTTTATACAAAGATCTTTGAGAATTCAATTATTTGAAAGATAAAGAAACTTCTTCTAAATTTATTTTGAAGTCCGCTTGTTAACAATTCAAATTTAAGATATTTCAGTTATTTCAAAATTTTTCAATTAAATATGTATCAAAAAATTTAAATAATTCCAAAGAATTTGAATTAAAATTATAAAAAATTAGTTCTACACAATTGTTAATTAAAAGTATTAAAAATACAGATTTTCAAAGATTTGAATTTAAATCCTTCTTAAAATTAAATTACTTTTTAGTTTTTAATTAAAATTCTCCTCTAAATCAATTATTTTTAATAATAAAATACATATTAGAAAATTTAACAAATTTCAAAATAAGTGAATTAAAATTTCTCAAAAAACAAAGTTTAACAAAATTTATAATTAAATTCCTAAAAATTCAAATTTTTTAAAGTTTTAAATTGAAACTTTTTTAAAATTCAATTAATTTTTAGTTCTTTACTAAAATTCTTCTCTAAATCAATTCTTTTTAATAACTTTTAGAAAGTTCATCTTCAAATCAATTTTTTAAAATAATATTCAGAGAATTCTTTTCTAAATCAATTATTTTTAGTAATTAAATATATATAAGAAAATTCAAGTAATTTCAAAAGAATTTGAATTCAAATTTCTGAAAAAACAAACTTCAACAATTTATTAATTAAATTTATTAAAAATTCCAATTTTCTAATTTTAAATTTAAACGTTTTGAAATTCAATTATTTATAAAGATTGTAAATACAACTCTTATGAAATCCAATTATGTTTGAAATTCCTAATAAGATTATTTACTAAATAATTTATAAGTAATAATTTTACAGTAGTCTTTCAAGAATTAAATTATTTTAAATAAATTCAATTTTCTATTCTGTAAAATTCAAATATTGTCAACCCTGCTATGAATACAAACCTTGAGTTCAAAAATAGGAGTGTCGATCGTTTCTGCCCCATGACGTTTGAAAATTGCGATAATTTTTTCCAGAACTCCAAGTCTTAAGGCCATTTGTTCTGGATTATAATCTCTCGTCCCTTTGGGAGTTTTAAGAGTAAATTTTTGTTTATCAACATTATCGTCGCCCAATTGTGCTTTTAGACTGAGTAATTTTGCAACTTCATCGACTATCTAGTACGAGAAAACAAAAATAAATAACAAGATAATTATTATTTTGCAATAAATAATATGTAGTTCGAATATCAACTTTTCTTTTTTCGGACAAAATTGAAAATCATTTAATCGTACCTTTGGTGCCATTTTTGTTGACACGTTGCGAAATTGACGTGTGGTGAGGATTAAATTCGTTCGCATTAAACTCAACATGTTTGTGCGAAGCAAAAATATCGTAACCAGAATGAAAGAGAAAAGGCTTCAATGTTGATTATCGAACTACTTAAAACATTAGACATTATTTTCAGTTAAAAAAAATACCACAAAAAAATTTCTTACATTTTTATCCATTTAAATGAAATTTCTTGAACTAATTGTTTAATTACTTCTTTATTTTTTGCAACTGATCAAAGATATCTTTTAAACTTGGATAAAAATTAAAAGAAATATTTTTGAAAAAAATTGTTTAGAAAAAAAAATGCTCGTCTTTATAAAAAGAAAGTGTAATCTAGTTTTCAGAAAGGTTGGTAAGAATTTCAAGAATAATTATAATTTTGAAATTATTCTTCTATGGCAGTACTGCAAGTAGACAACTGCCTCACCTTTTTATTGAGGTTTTTGTCAGAGCAAGTAACAGGATTGATTAGGCGATCGACTTTAATTGAAAGAGATGAATTTTCTCCTTTTGGAGCAGCGAACGCTAAACGTTCCATGGGAGTGTAACTTTTCATATTATCGAACCATCGTTTCAAATTAGGCCAACTTGTTAATTCACCGTTTATATGTTTACTACATAAATCAAAAAGTTGAGCATCCTTATTTGATGGGGTCCAACCACAAACATAACTGACATCAATCAAATCATTATTTATAATGGCAAATTCGAGTTTTATATCTGTCGATGATTTTTGATCCTAAAATGAAACAAAAGTCGAGAATATGAAATTTTTCAATGCAGATTACAATAAAATTTATCAAAGTTAAATGAATTCACACTTTTGACATATTTTTTTTTAAATGATATACGTTTTATTTGTTTGTGCTGATTATTTGAAATAAAACTGATATTGTCCACATGAGAAAAAAATGGAGAAATTACTTTTTTGATATTATTATTATTATTGTGCAACATCGGATTGCGATAATGATTGTCAAATTAAAAAATATTTGTTTAATTTTTTTTTAGTATTTATTGCACAACTATTACATGAATCATAAATAATAGTTACGTACTGAACTTTCCAATATGCACTTGATTACACTTTACACATTTCTTTTTAAAAGTAGAGCAAAAAATTTATTTAAATATTGCTAAAACAAAAAGATGATAAATATAAAAATTGTTTATATTTAGAAGAAAATTCTCGAACAACGAAAGGCGATAGAATTTAAATAATTACATATATTTATAGAGAAAGTTTTTAATTAATTCTTGAAAATCATAACCTATAATCAAGTTTCACTTTAAAAATGTTATTTTTCTTTATTTTTATATGAAAATTACTTATTGTTAATTTAAAAAATAAAGTTTTGGATTTTTATTTTATTATTGTTATTAAATATTAAAAAGATGTTTTAATAAAGAGAATAATTAATAGTTAATTGTAATTTATACAATTATGAAATCATGACCCAGAAATGAAATTTTAAATAGAAATAGAATAAAATAATCCCCACAAGAAAAAATTGATAACAATAAAAAATTTACAAATTCATTTAATTAACAATTAATTATTAAACAAAAGATGTTAATTATCGATTAAAATAATAAAAAAATAAAAGAAAACTAATAGTGTGTGCTCCATATGTAGTTGAAAGAAAGTTGTCAAGAATATACGCAGTGAATATTAAATGTATTGAATAAATACCTTAACGGGATTTGTTTTCTCAGCTTTTAATTTTCGCACAAGTTCACCTTGTTGTTTTATTTCTTCAATAAGTTTTATCTTATTTTCATCAGCCATAATGTTCCACGAGGTTACTTTTTCGGAGATGCACTTTAGTTCAATTCCTCGGTGCCATGCACACAGTTTCAGAATGAACGGAACAGAAGGAATGTGGACTTGGACGCAATGGAACGGGTGGTACTGTGGAACGAGCTGAACGACGGAGCGCATGACCCTCCTGCAGAAGCGGGCTTGTTGGCGAGTTTAAGAAGGAAAATTTACATTCAAGCTGATATTAAAGTGAACTATTCTATTTAATTGAGTGAAAATGACAAAAAGTTGGGAAAAAATCGACAAATTGTAGTCGGATTGAGAAGATGTGGAAGATGCCAATCAACAAGGGCAACTTTGCAATAGGTATATTCATTTTTGTAATTTTTTTACTATTTCTTCAGCCCCAGTCTTATTTTTCTCATCGTTTGATGTTATTATCGCTAAAGCAGTGTTTAATTTTTGTATTATGTACAGAATTTGTGAAAATTTACGAAATTTACCATCTGAACTTTTTAGATGCGATGGTCGCCATTTTTTTTTCGGTGCATTTTTAGTACTTTGTTACCAACTTAACAATTTTGTTTTTTAACGTAGAAAAAAGGGGTGAGGGCAAAATTTAACTAATTTTAGTGTTTTTTACTTGATATTCTAGCATTCTTCTTATAATTTCATGATTTTTTTTCTTTCTTTGTTGATAAAAGTGTACTTATTTATTGCTTTATGTCTGTTTGAAAAATTTACCACGTGGAAATCTGTTTACTAGTTTATTGTTATTGTTTTGTTAGGTGGGGGTGGTAGCCATTCTTTTTGGCGCGTTTTTAGTGTTTTTTTACCGCCAATTGTTTAGTTATTGTCCATCCACACAGCGAAATATGTGTGCGGGTGTAATTTCATTAGTTATAAAGTGTTTTTTTATTAATATTTTACCATTTCTCAGTGAAATAGACGAGATATTCGTAAATCTTAGGTGGTTTATTTACTTTACAAAAGGGCTCATCATTTAATCTGTTGACGATCAATAAAAAATCGACAAGGTAACGTCTTTAATATTGAGGTTAATTTTGTTGCTATTTCTTCAAGATTTTGCTTTATTTTTCTGATAGTTTCATACTCTTGTGCCTAAAAATGTCTTTATTTGCTATATTATATAAATTTTTGGCAAAATTTTATCATTTAAACAATTTAAGGTTATGGTTTAATAAATTTATTCGATTTATTCGCAATTGTTGACACTTTTAATGTGTTTTGTTCCGTCTTTGAAAAAAGTGTTCGGGTGTAAAATTTTTTGTGTTTTAACGTTTTTTTTTACTAAGTGTTTTACCATTTTTTAGTGAAATTGATAAGTTTTTCGTATATTTCAGGTTCTTTGGTGACGAGGACAAAAAGATTAATTATTTATGAGGACAAATTTATTACTCAATCCACTTAATCTGATGGCGATCAACAGAAAATTTACAACAACAAAGGTATTGTTCCTGAATTTCGAGGTTAATTTTCATTTATTATTTTACATTTTTATAAATTTTATTTATTATCTTTTTGAAAATCAAAGATATTTTCACAAATTTTTCGAAAGGATTCTTTTTAAATGAAAAATTTAGAATTTTGATAATTAAAATTCTAAAAAAAATTCTAAAATTCTAAAAATTGAAATTAATGGTTTAAATTTTTTTCAAAAAACTAATTTTTTATTCTGATTAAAATTAAATAAATATTTTTTTTTTACATTTTTAAACTATAATAACTTAAAAAAAAGTTTTTAGTATGTATTTTTTAAAGAAAGATAGAAGGTTTTCCACAATGATGAATAATTTTAGTACACTTAAAAATTTTTGTTTAAAATTTTTGCACTTTTGCAAATAATTAAATTTGAACAAAATTTGATAAAATCAACTATATTACAAATAGTCAGAGAGTAAATTCAAGCCTGTAAGTTTAGATGGTTTCGACTGGGGGCTCGACTATTGCTTTACTTTCATTTATTCGCGACATCGACAAGAGTTTTGCAATTTTCCGCTCTTTTTAGCGGAATTGCAATATTTACAAGTTCCCACTAAACTATTATTGACACGTGCAAACCACCTTCTACTTGCAATTTATGCAAGAATTTTCTTTTGATTTGATGATTATATACTCATACTGTAGACCAAACGTTTTTACAAACTATTGAAATTTTATTTTTTTTCACTTTCCCTTTTCATTTCATTTTAAAAATTACTTTAACAAAAAATGAACAGTCAAAAATAAATTGAAAAATAATTATAATTTATTATTGTTGATAAATTATTTTCTCATTGAAAAATGTAATTAAAATTAAACTTTTAACATAATTTCGGAATCAATTGAAAAGAAATTGCAATTTAATTAATAATTAATTCATAATTACAATTGAACTAATAATTAATTCATAATTACAATTGAATTAATAATTAATTCATAACTACAATTGAATTAATAATTAATTCATCATTACATTTGAAATAATAATTAATTATTAATTACAATTTACAATAATTAAAATTTGTAAAATATTACTAAAGAATTAAATGAAATTAAAAATAATAAAAACAATTAAATTTTTAAATAAACTTAGAACTTTATAATAAAAAATTAAAAACAAATTTTGAAGCAAATATAAAATTAATTTAAAAGTGACAATTGAAATTTACTTCGTTTTTTTTATTATTGAAAAAATTGTCATCAATTATTTTATTTTCAACTTTGTTTCTAGTTTTACTATTTTTGTTCACTTGTACATTAATTTGATTTAAATAATTATTCAAAATTATTAAGTTTGATAATTATTTAATAATTATTTTACAAGTTTTTTTCAAATACATTTTATTATTTCAATAAGAAAATAATTTATGGGCAATTATTATTTTTTAAAATTATTTTTTATCTTCCTAAAGATTTTAAGGTTCAAATGAACGAAGTACTTTTTTGTGCTCCAGATGTTAGCACTGCTGCATTTAAAAATAATTTATTTAGAAAAAGAGTAATAGTAGATGATGAATTTCAGTAGGAAATGATTAAATATTTTATTAAATAAAAATAATAGATGATTTTTGATAGGAAATGATTAAATATTTTATTAAACAAAAAGAGTATTAGATGATGAATTCCATTCGAAAATGATTAAATATTTTATTCACGATTTTATTAAACGAAAAGAATAATAGATGATGAATTTCTAAGTAAAAATTAAGGGTTGAAATAACTCCAAAAAACAAGGAACATATGTACATCTAGATAACTTTTATTAACCAAATAATCATTATCATTACAAATTACGCGGATGAGACATGCGCGTACGTGCCATTCAACGGATACAATGAAACGTTAACATTACAATCAATGATTTTTTTTTTTTGCGAATGAATGAATTAAAAGTTCTTTTCACTATTTGGATTAAGAACTGCTTACTTGACAACATGTATGCATTTTTTTTTTAATTATCTTGTTCATTTACATTAATGTTCAGTTGTGTTTTTTTGTATAGTTGTAAGTATGAGTCACTTGTGCGCGTGTGTGTACAAACTTTGATAATTATAGTCGAAGACATCAAAAACTTGCTACGTAATATTAAATAACATCACCGCGGATTGCATTAAATGTCAGATCATTGAAATATGTATATATATTATATATATACTTGTAAATATATATATACTCATATATGTACATATAAAAGTTTATATCGCTTTTAGTATTACGCGAAAGTAGATTCTTGTCTATTAAATAACGGTCACACCTTCGCAAAACTTTCATTTGATTGGCTCCCCCATGAAAAGTATTAAAATCCAGTTGAATATTAATCATGACCTTGCTCAATAAACCTGAAGAAAATTATTCAATTCTCTTATAGTTCTAGTTTTGCACAGAGATGGGATTTTTGCATAATAGGAGTTGTAATAATAATAATAATTATATAATAATAATAAGAATAAAAATAGTAATTTTAATAGTAATTATGATTATTTTAATAGTAATTACGATAATTATAATAGTAATTATGATAATTATAATAGTAATTATAATACTAAAGAATAATAACAGGGATCACAGTTAGTTTCATTTTTTTCGCCTAATCTCCTTTTTTATTTCCTTCAATTAATAAAATCCCCTAAATACTTAAAATCAAACACTTTCTCCCCTTTTTCCCTTGTTTTTGAGAAAAACTTATAAAAATAATTGTTATTTATTGTAAATTTGAAAATTTTTTAATTAGGCTTGATGAAACAAATTTTTACTTTTTGAAAACTTTGGAAAAATTTTAGTATTTTGAAACTTAAAAATCTTTTCTTCTTTCTTAAAGTTTTTAAAATTAGGAATTTTTCCATTTTTTTATTATTTACGTACAAACTTTATGGAACTTTCATCAAATTCTACTATTATCAGAAGAAAAATTACTATTTAAAGTATATTTTATTAATTTTTAATCAAATTTACTTCGATTTTAAAATTTACTCTGAAAATAACGATTTTTATTAGCAAGATTTACTATTTTCAATGCTAAAAAATTGGAGAAAAATTATTCAAATTTTCCTCCAACGTAGTACAGTTAGCTATTAAAAATTCTTATTTTTCGAGTAAATTTTACTATTTCTCAAAGTAAATTTTTCTAATTTTCAAAAAAAAATTGTCTTTAAAAATAGTAAAAATTATTCTGGAAATAACAATTTTTAATATTAAATTTTATTATTTTTGAAGGAAATTTTACGAAATCCGAAGTAAATTTGACTAATTTCTTACTGCAATTTATTTCAGATATAGTAAAATTTATGAGATTTTAAAACAAAAATAGAGTTGTAATAGAAAGTTTGATTAAAAATTATTTAAAAAAATTACAGTTTACGGAAAAAGATATCAGAAAAAATCTGATTTAGAAAAAGCTGTAATTATGAGAAAAAATGAAAAAAAATCTTTAAACTAAATTGTATACACTACACTGAACGAAATTTATTTGATTCAAATAAACAATTACTTGTCTATTATTATTAAATAAATATTTACTTGTATCAAATAATTTTTATTTGAGCCAATTAAATTGTATTTGCATAAATACTGAAATTTTATTGGTTCCAATATTATTGGTTTCCAATAAAAATAATAATTTGAATTAAATAAAAATTATTTGAACCAAGTAAATATTTATTTGATAATCGATAAGTAATCGGTTATTTGAATCTAATAATTTTTTTTCAGTGAATAATACAATAAAAAAATAAATTTGAAAATTTCCCTTCTTATTAACTGAAAATTAAAATCCCCTTTTTTACTTAATACTTGAAAAACCTCTGTGATCCCTGTAATAATAAACAATAATAGTAATAATAATAAGAAAAATAATAATAGTGAATATAATAATAAAAATAATAATTAATCACCAGGTACAATGCATTGTAAAGATATATTAAAAATTGTAAATCTTATTAAAAAGATTAATCTTAATTAACAAATATCGAACAATGAACGTTAAGTATAAATGGAATATATTAGTAACAATGTGGCATATAGTTAAATACTTTGGTATTGGGTTTTCAGGATTTAATTAAAAATTCATAATCATTCCCTTTATATACAATATATGGTATTAGTAAATATATAATAAATAATAAAACAAATATATTGTTTTCATGATCAGTCAATATTTCTGTTTGTTTCATAGATATTAAATTAAAAAAATAAATTCAAAAGTTGAAATCAATTTTGAAAGAGGACTCCAAATTCTAATGTCTCTAAAAACTAGAGTAGAAAATAAGCGTATAATTTTGCACTCCTTTATCAATAAAAGAAAAAGACTGCTATTTTTTTGTATAATTACATATACAAATAATTATTATCATTTTTTTTTTTTTTTGATAAAGAATAATCAAAATCTATCGAGTATATTGTGGTCCATTTAACCGTGTTTTATTTTTCTTTTTTTTTTATAGATCTGACTTGGGGAAAATGTTCAACTTCTCCGGTCAGAAAAAATGGTGTAGAAATTTATAGTGTTTTTTGTTTTTAAATTATGAAATCCCATCTCTGGATTTTATTAATTATGTTTAATCGTGTGCGAATCCGCGGCTTTGCTTTGCTAGGCTTAGGGCTACTGTATTATTTTTAAGATATCGGTGTACTTATACAAGAATCTTTTCATACGATACGGGCATATTACAAAGACGTCGTTGCCAAATGAAAACGTCACATTCGTTCGATTGCATTCATACTTTGCACGCACACTCGTATAAGTCTCACATTTGCGAGAATCGTGGAAGGATTTATAGGTGCTTCTTTTTTTTTTTAATGACTCGACCGGATTTCACTGCAGGGTTGATATTGGTAATTTTTTATGTTCTTTTCCCCTTTTTGTGAATGATTTTTTCTTCTTCTTGAAATTGGTCCGGTATGGCAGTGTTTATCTTTCTTTCTTTTTTTTTTTTTGGTAAATGGATTATATAAGTTTTCTACGTTGTCATTCCACTGATAACATTATATTCGCATTTTTCTTTTTTTTAAACACCCTAAGATACACGCAAGTCTCGGGCGTCAGAGCGTCGGTGAAAAGAATATCGAAGAAAGAAAATGGCACGTTTTTCATTTTCACAAACGCTCTGTCCGTATTTTCTTTTTTTTTAAATTATTGATATTTACATCGCATTCAAATCGCGTTCAATCAGATTCATTCGTCTCCATAATATATTTATATATCTATATTTATAATATATATATTTATATATATAATTTATATCGTATATTATATATATATGTCAATAGTGTCATTTCGGATATACGTATTTTAGTAAATACGCTTGTCATCGTAATATTTTTTAATATTTTTTTCCGCGATGTTTGCGCAATTATTTCGTATTCAATAATTAACTTCTCGTTTCTCTGTCATAAATCTAATAATTAAAATATTTAGACTCGAAAGCTATGTAAGTACATAATTGGAGGATGGAGATTACGCAGTTGATGAGAAGGAGGGGTGCACAAAAAATTTGCCTTTTTTAGTCCCTTTTAATCGCAAGGATTTTTTTTTCTTTTGGGACAAATAGTTTAAATATCGATTTTTATTGTGAACGATCGATTTCACTGAAATCCTTAGATACTAATCAATAGTTAGTTTCTTTTTTTTATTTTTTTTTCATGAGTGATGAAATTCATATCTAACGATGTATTTTAACTAACGTATTCTAGAATCTACCTGTTGCACTTCCTCTGCCTACTATATTTAACGATATCTATTATTCATAGTTAGCTTTTTTTTTCTTTAATTAATGACTTGGTTTCTGTCTCTTTATCGGTGATTTATACGCGATCAGTGCTTTTAAAAAAAATAACTACATTTCTCTATACACACTTTTCGTTAAAACTTCTTATTTCTCGTTCCATTTCTCTTCTTTGTGTTTTTAAACTCTTCTTATTGTTTCTTCTTTTTTTCCTCGTCCAATTCAATTCTCAATTTCTTGTCACGCGATGCTACTTTTAAGTAAGACAGTGCGATAAAGTATTTGGAAAAGTAGAAACAATTTTGTACTTTGCGATGCGCAGTGAACACAGAATTGCTGGACAAAAAGTAAAATGTACTTTAAAGGAGTGTAATATTCACTCATTTTTTTTGGGGGTCGCATAAATGCATATTTTTTATACAACTTGTCATTAGTCGGCAAGGTGTGATCACAAAATTCTTTTTCTTTTGAATAAACTTAGAGAAAAATGATGGCCTCGTCCTTTCATCGAGGACTGTAATGACTTTAATGCAGTCTTTCTCGATGTAGGACGTGGTTCGTATAAAAGTAGAAAACACGACAATAGCATAAAATTTACTAGTGATGTTTGCGTGAAAGTAAATGCGCGCTACTCTCAAGTGCTACTTTTATTTTTTTAAAAGTGTTTGAAACTCGGATTATTTCACCCGTAATCGCCTTGAAATTTTCATTTTTTTCTGCTTCAGTGATGGTTTTAATCACTATTTTTTTTTGGGGGAAGCGCTCAGCCGTTATCTCGCTGACTGAAAGAATATTTTGAAATGTAATCGTAAACTTTCAGTCCCTTTATTTTCCAAGGGCTTCTTCGTTCGTTGTAGCTTAGCGAGTCGAGACTTTCCTCCTTCGCAACAAAAATTTCTTTTCCGAAAATGAAACTCTGAACGAGTTCAGAACGAATTCGTTCTTTCTTTCAATTTTTTTCTTTTTTTGGAAATCTCTTTCCTACTCTTCCCGCATGGAATGAATCCAGTGTGACTCGTATTTATCAATAAACGAACGATTGATTCTCATCACAATGTCGTTGTTCTTTTCTTTTGTAGTTTACTCGAGACGTGCCTTGTAACTGGTCTTCCAAATTTCAGCAAGCGTCACAGCACTGTGGAACCTATGGAAAATGCAGAGTGGCAATGTGACCCTCTGCACAATTGCCCAAGCAAGATAGCCATAGAAGTCAAGTTGAACTGGATTGAGATTAACTTTATGCGCTTCGAATGAATAAATGACCCACATGGTAACGTTGCACATCAACAGGAAGGTGACAATCTGTCGACCGGGTTTGCTTCTGTCGTGCTCCGGTAAATGAACTCTCCTACGTGAGACGTCGGAAATGAAGAGCATTTGAAGTACCACCTGTGCCACAGCGAGAAGACCAGTTATCATTACAAGGAGATTTGGTTCATGAGTGAATGCAGAGAGTGAGCCAGCTATTACGCTAAATGCTGCGTAAATAAAGAGACCGAACGCTGAAACTCGAAGTAAAATATCATTCAAATCACTCTGCTCCTCGGCTTTAAATTTCAAACTCTGCACGCGAATAAATCCAATGATAATAGCTATAATCGAGAGTGCCATTAAGAGACAATGCGAAGCGTCTGCCAGATAGATTGCCAACAGTCCCATTCCAGGATTACGAATCAGTACAAAGAAGCAGATCAGACAGATCAATGAACCCACTAAGAGTAGCAATCCAAAGAAGAGTCCCTTGCTGGCACCAACGCAATCCACTCGACCATGTCCTAAATATAAATTTTACAAAAATAAGACATTTAAAGGATATATTATCAGCAAGTGAAAAAAAAAATTTACGAAACCTACCCAGATAACAATTTGAAAATTATTTTCTTTTCAAAATTACGAAAAATACGATTCGTACTAGAAATTTACCCGTCTATGTAAAATGGTAATAAATGGGAATAAATTTCAAAGAGTATAATTCTTGTTACTTGGGCAAGGTTTCTGAAAATTAGGGATTTTGAGTAATTTCGACTTCTTTCTGATCTGAAGCCGTTTTTACTGACCATTCCGAACAGTAGGCTTCCCCGTAGTGGTCCGATTGGTTTCTTCACTCTCGTTTACGGACGGAACGATTTCACAATCGCTTGGTGGTTCATCTCCTTCTGGAGGGAAATGGGTAAGAGAGAGGTTGATAATAAGACTGGTCGTGTGAGTAGGGTGCGCGTTATTTAAAAGGATTGATCAATACGGGGGGGCCTACTGTATTTTTAGAGAAAATTATCTCTTTCTTAGCTACAGAAAGATATTCGTTATCATAGAAAGACCCGAAATTTTATTTAATATTATCAAAATATGTCTAGTTATATTAGGATGGTTTTTATTTTGATGAGAAATTTGAAATTTGTTACCACTGCCTTCGGTGAATTTGTTATTATACTGAAAGTAATTTTTGTTCATTACTATGACTAATTTTTATTAGTTTACGACCTAATCTTTTTGCCCCTAATTTTAAAAAATCTTTAAATTAACACGAAAAAAATCCTATTAACAAAATAATTGCAAAACAAATTTTTTATGGTTGTTTTTTACTCTTGGCAATTATTTTCGATTAGAAAAAAGTTTTAGTTGAATTACTGCTCCAAAACATTGTCGTTTTTGCCCCGAATTTTCAAACATTTTCAATTTAATAAAAAAAAATTGCTCTTATCAAAATAATTGCCAAACAAAAATTGCACCAAATTTTTTATGTTCGTTTTTTACTCTAAGCGAATATTTTCGATTGAAAACAAAAGTTTTGCCCGGAATTTTCATAAAACTGCAATTTATTAACAAAAAATTGTTGTTAGCAAAATAATTGCAAACCAAATTTTTTATGGTTGTTTTTTACTCTTGACAATTATTTTCGATTGGAAAAAAAGTTTTAGTTCAATTGCTGTCCTAAAACATTGTCGTTTTTGCCCCGAATTTTTAAAAATCTTCAATTTAATAAAAAAAAAAATTGCTCTTATCAAAATAATTGCAAAATAAAAATTGCATCAAATTTTTTATTATCCTTTTTACTCTCGGCAATTATTCTTGATTGGAAAAGAAGTTTATTTTAGTTGCTATTCCGGAGAATTTTCGTTTCTTGCTTTGAATTTTCAAAAATTTTTAATTTAACACTAAAAAATTCTATTAACAAAATAATTGCAAAATAAAAATTGCAACAAATTTTTTATGTTCGTTTTCTACTCTTGGCGATTAATTTCGATTGGAAACAAAAGTTTTAGCTCATTTCCTGTGTCGCAAAATTGTCATTTTTTGACCCAAATTTTCAAAAATCTATAATTTATTAACAAAAAATTGCTGTTAACAAAATAATTGTAAAACAAAAATTGCATCAAATTTTTTATGATTGTTTTTTACTCTTGGCAATTATTTTCGATTAGAAAAAAATTAGTGTTGTTCCGGAATATTGTCGTTTTTTGCCCTAAATTTACAAAAATCTTCAATTTACTTTAGAAAAAAATTGTAATTATTAAACTAATTGCAAGACAAAATAATTTTTTATTAGTTTGGTAACAAGTTCTTTTTTAAATTTTGATTTTTTGAAAATTGAAGGCGATAAGCGAGGATGTTTTAGGGCAATTAGTCTAACAATTTTTTTTACCCTTCAAAGTGATTGTAAAGTGTAAAAAACATTTGTAAAATATTTGGTCTCGTAATTCAATTTGTCATATGTCTTTCTTTTTGGTTGTGATTTTGTTTTTCTTTTACTTCAATAGAAGATGTGATATAAAATCTGAATAATTTATTACTAATATTATTAATAAATTATTTTTACTCTAATTACTAGAATTCATCATCCGAATAATTTATTTTTAATGTGTAAAAAAATATTCGATTCAAATAAATGATTAATTGACAATTACCACACAGTTTTTCTGAGATTCTTAAAATGAGACAAAAAACGAATAAAAATGTTGCTTCACAACACTTTTAATTCTTTTTTTGCCTCAATCTGATATCCTTAGAATAACTGTGACAAATAAATATTTGCTTGTATTTGATCATTTTTATTTATTGGCAATTAAATGGTATTCTTTTCAAATACAATTTAACATTGTTGATTTAAATAGAAATTATTTGATTCAGGTAAATGGTTTGTCAATAGACAAGTAATCGGTTATTTAAATCAAATATTTTTTTCTCTGGATTAAAAAATTAATTAAATTAAATATTAAAATTTATCAAGAGAAATATTTACTTCTTTTGTATTTGAATGCAATTTAGGTCATATTATTGAAGTGAAAAAAAGATTTTTCGTTTTGAAGTACTTTGCGTACTTCAACATTCATAAATTTCTTTCAGTGTAATTTTGGTTCAAGATAAAAATTGCGTGGAATTATACTGTAAAAAAATTTATTTGATTCAAAATGAAAATAAATTATCAAAATTAATTATTTACTTGAATCAAATAATTTTTATTTGAGTCAATTGAATGGTTCAATTCATATTTGCTTCAAATACTGAAATTATTGGTTCAAGTGCTATTTAATTGATTTAAATAAAAATTATTTTATTCAAGTAAATATTTATTGACAAGTAATCGGTTATTTGAATCAAATACATTTTTTTTCAGTGTATGAACTTGTTATTAAATTCCGGACGGCGAGTAAAAATTTCCATTTCGTAAAATAAAAACTGTTCCAATATAGATCGTTTTCGTTAAAGAATTAACGATAAATGATTTATAAAAAAATACTATAATAAACTGTATTTAGTTTATTATTAGACAAATAAAGACTATCTAGTAGACTGTCTGATAGATTATCTAGTAGACTGTCTGATAGATTATCTAGTAGACTATCTAGTAAACTATCTAGCAGATTATTTAGTTTGCTATCTAGTAGATTATCTTGTAGACTATCTCGCATTAGAATGTAAGCTCTATCTAATTGTGAACTATTTACAAGGGCAGCGATTTGCAATTATTTACAAGATTACATTTATTTATATAGTGAATCGTAACAAACCTGCGTGAGCAAGAGCAACAGCCCTTCGTGAGAGCATTGCTTCCAAGCGACGTTCGAGATCAGCTTCGGCCTGTCGTGGCCAACGTGGATGACGACCGATGTGCTTCCACATAACGTAGATGACAGCGGCGCCAATAAGACTGTACTCAATGATAAACGGATACAAATAGGGCGCAGCATCCTGAACCGTGGTTCCCATAATGCTAACACGTTCGCAAGCATTTTTATTCGAAAAATTGGCAGTTAGTGCCTCGGCATAAATTCCAAAATTCGATCCCCAGTATGTGGTCTCATTACTCGAATTACTGGGAAGACTTGGATTGACATCGTAAGCCTGTGGAATGTTATTCTTATTGATGGACTGCATTGAGTCGAATAATCCAGGGACTAAATGAGAAAGTGTTGTGCTTGATAGAGTGCTTGTGCTTGTTGTCGTGGTTGACGGTGTAGTTTCCCTCCAAGTGTTATTCTTAGCTGGTGTCAAGGTTGTCAGTAATGTTGATAAGGTGGTTGCAGCTGTTGTTGGTTCTCGGGTGGTTGTTGTGGGGAATGGTGTTGTTGATGTTGTTGTGCTGGTAGTGGTTGTCGATGGATTTGCCGTGGACGATGTTCGCCAAGGTGTTGTTGTTGTTGTCGTAGCCGTTGTTACAGCACGCGCCACTGCTCTTGCCGTTGTTCTCGCAACTCGTCCCAATGACGATACAGTTGTTCTCACGGCTCTGATTGCTGTCGGTGGTTTCACGGTCGTTGAATAGGACAATTTTCGCAGTTGAGCCATGTCTCGTGGTTCAATGCCGAGAATTGCGTCGGCATTCCTTATTGTGTGCTCGCTGATGCTGGCTATAATTTCAGAAGATTATAATTCAATAATGGTAGAAGTAGAAAATTAAATAGAAAAAGAAGAAAGAGAAAAGGGAGAAGAAGAAAAATTAAATAGAACAAGTGCAGGGTTGACACAGGTCAGGGAAAAGTCAGGGATTTTTATTAAAGTACTGGAAAAAATTTAATTTTGCAGAAGATACAAATAATTGCAGAAATTAAATTATTTCCAAAAGTAATCAAATTCTTCTCCAAAATTCAATTTCTTCAGAAATTTTAATACAATTCTTTGCAAATTTTCAATTATTTTCTAGAAATTCAAAAATTAAAAAAAATTCTCATCAAAATTTCAATTATCTTTATAAATACTAAAATTCTTCCCCAAAATTCAATTTTATTCAAAAATTTAAAAAAAATTCTCGTCAGAATTTCAATTATCTTTATAAATAACAAAATTCTTCTCCAAAATTCAATTATTTTCAAAAATATTGATAAAATTCTTTGAAAAATTTCAATTATTTTCTAAAAATTAAAAAAAATTCTCTTCAAAATTTCAATTATCTTTATAAATACTAAAATTCTTGTTCAAAATTCAATTATTTTCTAAAAATTAAAAAATTAAAAAAATTTCTTGTCAAAATTTCAATTATCTTTATAAGTAATAAAATTCTTCTCCAAAATTCAATTATTTTCAAAAATTTTATTAAAATTCTTTACAAATTTTCAACTATCTTCTAAAAATTAAAAAATTAAAAAAATTTCTCCTTAAAATTTCAATTATCTTTATAGGTAATAAAATTCTTCTCCAAAATTCAATTATTTTCAAAAATTTTATTAAAATTCTTTACAAATTTTCAATTATTTTCTAAAAATTAAAAAATTAAAAAAAATTCTCGTCAAAATTTCAATTATCTTTATAAGTAATAAAATTCTTCTCCAAAATTCAATTATTTTCAAAAATTTTATTAAAATTCTTTACAAATTTTCAACTATCTTCTAAAAATTAAAAAATTAAAAAAATTTCTCCTTAAAATTTCAATTATCTTTATAGGTAATAAAATTCTTCTCCAAAATTCAATTATTTTCAAAAATTTTATTAAAATTCTTTACAAATTTTCAATTATTTTCTAAAAATTAAAAAAAATTCTCGTCAAAATTTCAATTATCTTTATAAGTAATAAAATTCTTCTCCAAAATTCCATTATTTTCAAAAATTTTATCATAATTTTTTGCAAAATTTCAATTATTTTCTAAAAATTAAAAAATTACAAACATTTTTGTCAAAATTTCAACTATTTTTATAAATTCTAAATTTCTTCTTCAAAATTAAATTTTTTTCAAAAATTTTAATAAAATTCTTTGCAATATTTCAATTATTGTCAAAAAATTAAAAAAAAATTCTCGTCAAAGTTTCAATTATCTTTATAAATAATAAAATTCTTCTCCAAAATTTAATTATTTTCAAAAATTTTAATAAAAATCTTTGCAAAAATTTCAATTATTAATAAATAAATAATAAAAAGTTTTACAGAGATTTAATTATCTTCATGAATAATAAAACATTCTTGATAGAAGTTAAAATTTTAGATAATAATTGAATATTAAAAGAATATTAAAATCATTATTAATATGATTTTTTAAAAATAATTGATAATTGAATTCTTATAAAGAATTTTAATAAAATTTTTAAAAATAATTGAATGCTTGCAACGAATTAAAAAAAAAATTTTTTAAATAATTGAAATCCTGTAAAGAATTTTATTATTTATGAAAACAATTGAATTCCGGCAACGAATTTTATTTCACATTTTCTAAATAATTGAATTCTATTGAGAACTTTTATTAAAATAGTTAATTGTAAATGTAATATTAATTGAATGCTTGCAATGAATTTTATTAAAATTCTTGTAAATAATTAAATTTTTTCTTTAAAAATTTTTATTGAAGATTAAATTTTTATAAAATATGAAAATATCAAACGCTCCGAGTCAAAGACTCGGATTGATCAATATCTTCATGTTCTATATTAATATTCTTATAAGCTGTTGGATTTCAAAAAGGTTTGAATTGAAAATTTTTGAAAATTCCTAATTCCTATGGAAAAATAATAATGATTAAATATTTATTAAAAAAAAATTTATTGATATTTTCGAATAATTTTATAATTTAAGAAATTTGTAAATAAATGTAATAGAGTAGGTTTTTTTAGTATACAGTTATTTTTAGAGTGAATTTGAATATTTTTTAGGGTCAGGAAGAAAGTCAAAATTTTGTCTGTATGTCAGGGAAAAACAAAATTAATTTTTTGTGGTAACCCTGAAGTGTTTTACATACCCAAAAGTCCAATTTCTTTTCTGCCCAAACTCTTGTGATAGACTGTGATATCCTTTAGAGTCTCCAAAACAAGGGTTCGTATCCAAACGCAGACATTTGTCGCAACAACGTGCATGAGTCCAAAACGTGCAATTACTTTAAATCGATGAATATTGAGCTGTTGAGAAAAAAAATTGTTATTCCACCGGAAGAAATTGATATGATTTCAAAAAGAGAGAATGAACATAAAATACCCTGGAATTCATGAAAATGAAGTACATTTGCATGAAGGTGAAAATCATCTGTAGAACGGGATTCACTCCCTTAAGAATTTGATAACATGGCGAAGTTGGTAAAACTTCGAAGAACGTTCCAAATTCCAATCCATTGTAAACCATTGTTCCCAAACCGAATGCTGAAACAAAAATTGAATTTAGATTTTTTCACATCTCTTTTTTTTTATTTTATTGGAGGATTTGAAATATCGATTTCAATTTAAATTTGATATTGAAATTACCAATTGCGCCCATCCTGAGGAAAAAGCTACCGTGACTTTGATCATTCTGTGTGGTTTTACGCTTTCGTGTAACCACCGCAGCTTCCACATCAGGATCCTGAAATAAATGCTCTTGAGTTTTGTTGAAAGTAGAAAATCGAATTTGACATAGAATTTACGTGCTTCTTGGTATTTCTTGAATTTTAAAACAATGGAAATTGAATTCGATCCAAGAAGTAAAATTAGAATCTTATTCATGATTGTTATTATTAATATTTGTATCATTGAAAGCTGATTTCTTGAAATAGTACAGGGAGACGTTTTTTTTTTTTATAAGAAAAGAAAATAAACGTTTTTTTCCCCTCTCGAAAGAATAATAATTGGTGCGGATATTTTGGTTGGAATCGGTGAAAAAATATACAGAGAAATTGAAAATATTTGAATTCCAACTGAGTTTAAAGACCGGGATTATTTATTTTGTTTTCCAAGCAGTATATCTGATTCAAAAGAGTAGTTAATCCCCCAGACGAAACCATAAGTGGTAAACTAAGTTTAATTACGTCATGTCTAGAAATTACTGTTCTTTAGAGATTCGGACTGATTAAAAAAATTAGCTTCAGTGGCAGTACAGTAAATTTAAAAATTTATTTTTTCTTTTTGTTTTTTTATTATTTTTTAGGTCTCTGAAGTTAGCGTCAATGCTGAGGGTGAAAAAGAATTTTTTTCGCGAAAGCAAAAAGAATCAAACAATTGTTTAAAAGTAAATTGTTTTTAAATTAAAAAAAGTGCCTTAAATTTACTTTCTACGTGCATGAAAAAAATGGAAATAAGTCCAAAATCTAAATAATTGTTTTCGACGCTGAGAGTCGACGCTAACTTCAGAAATTATTTTTTATTTGTCAATTTCTATTTAATTATTATTTACTATTAATTACCTTCTTTTTCTTGTCCTTTTGTCCTTTTTGCTCCTTGACCTTTTTGTCTTTCTTTTTCTTATCTTTGTCTTTTGTTTCTTTAGTTGCTTTTGGCGGTCTTGGCGGTGGTGGAGGTGTTTCCACACCCCTGGAGCAGCAAGCACTTTCCTGAAGAAGGAAGCAGAACACGTAGAGCAGAAAGAGGATGCTGACTCCATAAAGGTATGTGAAGAATCCTTCATAATAATACGTTGGTATTCGGTAAGTGACAACATCGCTTATTACGTAGGCAATGCACACAACTACTAAAAGTTTTGCGTATATAAAGCTCATGATGATAAAAAGGGACGTTCTGAAACAGATAAACAAAAAAATACAACGTACAGTTAAAGAAAAAGATCAATTTGATATTTAAAAGTTAAATTGAAAGAACTCTACAATTTACAAAAATTATTTTTCTAAAAACTTCATAGATTGATATTTTATTTATAATTATTTTTGATATTTTATCAATAATACAAAAAATGTATTTTTGATGTTTTATCAAAATAAAAAAATATAATTTTGATAGTTAAAAAGTAGTCAAAAAGATGAAAAAAAATTGTCGAAATAAAATCAGTTGGTATTAATTTAGAACAGATTTTTGGTACTACCTAAATCTTAATTTGTTTTATTTTAATTTTTAATACGTAAAATCAACTTTAATTATTCAAAAAACCTTTGTTCCAATATGATAATTTTTTTTATAGTGGAATAATCGCAGGGATCACAGTTAGTCCTCTCTTCTCTTTTCTTATCGCCTTAAATTATTAAAATCTTCTAAAACATATAATGAAAAATGTTTCTGCAAATTTTAGTTTTTTGAGACTTAAAAATCATTTTTATATTATTTCTCAATTCTCAGAGTATTTATATTTAGAAATTTTTTCATACAAGTTAACAAATTGTAATATTTTCAATATAAATTTTTCTAAAATTCAAAGTATTTTTTACTGATTTTCAATAAAATTTACTTCTATTATAAAATTTTTGTATAAAAATTATTTAAATATATATATTATATATATTTATTATTTAAATTTTCCTCCAACGTAGTACAGTTAGCTAGTAAAAATTCTTATTTTTAGAGTAAATTTTACTATTTTTGAAGTAAATTTTTCTAATTTTTAAAAAAAATTGTCTTTAAAAATAGTAAAAGTTATTTTGGAAATAACAGTTTTTAATATCTATTAAATTTTATTATTTTTCAACTCGGAAATTTTACCAAGTCCGAAGTAAATTTTACTAATTTTCTACTGCAATTTACTTCGGATATAGTTAAATTTAAAGAATTTGTAAATAAAAATATAGTTCTAATAAATAATTCGATTATAAATTTCAAAAAATTACAGACTACAGAAAAAGATGAAAAAAAATATAACAGAAAAAATTTAACAAGAAAATCTGATTTAAAAAAGGTGTAATTAAGAGGAAAAGTAAAAAAATCGTTCAAATAAATTGTAGGTATTTTAATATAATAATAAAATTAATTTGAAAATTCTCCTTTTTTTAAAACTAAATCCTCTTTTTTACCTAATATTTTATTTGTATAAACAATTTATTGTTTATTGGATATTTATTGGGTTTAGTTTTTAAAAAAAGGAGAATTTTCAAATTAATTTTATTATTGTATTTATAATGTATACAATTTATTTGAACGATTTTTTACTTTTTCTCTTAATTACAGATTTTTTAAATCAGATTTTTTTTGTTAAATTTTTTCTGTTTTTTTTTTTTTTTTTTGTAGTCTGAAATTTTTTTTTTAACCTAATATTACTTGAAAAAAACACTGTGATCCCTGTAATAGTCAATATCATTTTCAATTTTTTTAAAAAATCATGGGAAACTTGATAGAATAGAATGCTAGTTTTCCTGGATGATAAAAGAATTTTCTGGTAAATTTTCTTCTCTGTCAGTTTTTCACTTTACTTTCTTTTTATTAAAAATATGAATTTTTCAAGTTTTCGTTTTGGATTAAAAAAATCAAAAGAAAAAAAATAAAAGAGAAAGAGAAGTAAGAGTAGAGAAAATTTTCCAGATCCTTTCACTTAATTTCGGTTAAATTTTCTTTTTTTCTTGACTATTTTGTTTTTATTAAATTCTTACCGTTTTTTCTTGGCAATTGTCACCCTACTATTTCGCCTTCTCGGGAAAGTCCCGGCTTTCTTTTCATTTCCATCAACAAACGGAACAATTTCTACTTCCATTTTGAGTTTAAGTTGTGGTAACTTGTCACAAATTAATATTTATTCGCACACATTTTAAACCTTTTCCTCAAATTACTTCCTCATGGAGGAAGTATTTTTTTTAGTCTATAAAATTATATTATTTTTCTTTTTTTTTTTTTAGTTTAGAGTTTCATTTGAATTTTATTTCAAAAAATATTCACATAATTTAGAAAACTGAATTAACACATTTATTAAAAATCCTACATCACTTAAAAAAATGATAAAATTGATAAAAAAAATGATAAATCGATAACGAAATGGAAATGATAAAAATCAGCTATCCACTAGAATTATTTAACGTTATAATCATTCAAGATGAAGTTTTCTCTTTCGTGCTTTAAAGCAGACTGACGTTTCCGTGTGTTAGGCAGAATTCTATTTTTGAATATTTCTTACTAAAAACTTCCTCCAACTGGAGGAAGTACAGATGGTGTATTATTTAAGAAAAACAGGGTGTGTCCGTGGTTAGAGAAACAAATAAAAGAAATAAATTTGTAAATTAATAAAACACGTGAAATTAAAATTTTCAGTTTTTATATATATTTTTTTTATAGAATTTCTGTAAATACATTTTGTTTAAATTTAAACTTATTTAATATTTTTCTTTTTATTGAAAATTCAACAGCTTTATATATATAAAATTCAGATGAACTTTTGATATTTAATTTTATGATTGACCTTAATAATGTTTATAAAAGTATTTATCTTTGTAACTATTTTTATGAGAAATACTTAAATTTCACTATTGAGATTTTTTTATGAAAAGTAAATTTAGTTAAAGGTTGATTTATTTATTTAAATTACTTAATTTAATGAATTATTTCGTCTTTTTTACTTTGATTATTGTCTCATATTTAATATTATATTATTAATATTTTATTATTATTATTATTATTATTATTATTATTATTATTATTATTATTATTATCTATTATTTTTTTATTGTTATATACATTTTTTTCTGTCGATGCGATGTTTTAATAATTTAAAATTTTTTCGGTTTATTAAGAAGATGAGTTATAAAATTCATTACTGCTGAGAAGTTGTCGACTATATTTAAATATAAAATTTATATTTGAGTCATAAAATAAGCAATTTGTACTGAATTTAATTAATATTTCTCGTTGGTTATTCACGTATGGTATTAATTGAGTATATTTAATATTTAATTAGTGTTCAGGATATAAAATAAACTATTTGTCAATTTCTACCGAATTTTATTAATATTTCTCGTTAGTTATTCACGTAATTAATTGTCTGTATTTTGCAGTGTAGATGACTGATATGGTGATTTTATATTAAAGATCGTCTTTCAAATATCGACTTTGGAGATGCAATACCGCATGATGCATCTTTGTCAACAGGAGCTTAAAACCCTTTTGTTCTTGGTGGCATTTTAGGGGTTGAAGCGCAGACTTTATTGTGTCTCACACGAGCTTGTACACTCGACTCAAACATTTTTTTCTCCTACTCTCTTTCTCTCTCTCTGTTTCTCTGATAAAAAATTGCTCCTCCTATGGATAAATATTGTGAAGCTTCAGCACATTTTTCTTTCGTGGGAAAAAATAAAATTTTTCCCATTTTTTCCCTTCACTCAATTTACGAATTCATGGTAACAATAGAATTTGATTAACTTTTTTCCCCCGAATGTTTATCTCTGTTTCTCTCTCTCTCTCTCTCTCCTTTTTTTATGCGATTACATTATTCCAGACAGATTATTTTTTGTTCGTCCTTTATATATGAAATATTTTTTCGAACTCACAAATACTATAATTGGTTTCGTGTCTTCTTTTATATTGTGGTAAATTAATATTGTTGAGAAGAGTGGACTTTATTTTTTTTTCTCTCGATAAGAAGCGTTATTTGAAGATTGAGAATTTATTTGCGTTGTGCGTTTTATTCTTACACGGTGAAAATATAATATTCTTGAAATAATAATTCTTATTTTAGAATTATTTCTTTGGAATTATTTCTTATTTTAGAATTATTTGTTAAGAATTGTTTCCTATTTTAAAATAATTTTTTATTTTGAGAATTTATTGTATTTTAAATTAAGTGAAGAGACTATTCTGTGTAAGAAGATTCATTTATTGTAATCAAATTTTCCTGTGGATATTTTTTCCTATTCTTCTATTGAGAACGTGAAAATGTTCTTAAATAACTCGTTTCTTTGATCATTAAACGTTTTTACTCAATGGAAAATAGAGTTCTATTTCTATGGAAACTTAGATATTTTCCTAAAGTTTTTTTTCATTGCGACGAAATTTTCAGTTTCAAACAGAAAACTTAAAAATTACGATGATTAGTTAAATAAATAAATGAATTGTCAGTATTTTATAAATAAAATTAAAACATTAAAAAATACATATTTTTAACTGAAAGGAAAATTTACAATTTCTGATTTTGTCAACAGACAAAAATTTATTTGATTAAAATATAAATAATTTACTAGAATTTGTTATTTAAATCAATTAAATGGTATTTGAACGAATAATTTTAGTATTTGAAGCAAATCTGAATTGAACCATTCAATTGACTCAAATAAACTTCTTTCAGTGAATAAAGAAAAATTAATTTAATTATATTAAATCCTATTGAATTTTTTTTTTGATAGTATTTAATATTTTTAATGAATATTAAATATATTTAAATCAATTAAATACTATTTGCTACAAACAGAGAATTTATTGGTTCGAATTCATTTGAAATTGTAAAAATTATTTATTTCAAGAAAATATTTGTTAATAGTCAAGTAATCAAATATTTGATAAAAATAACATTTTTTTATGTGGATAAAATCTAATAAATCAATGAAATCAAATTTAATAAAATTAGATAATTTTCTAATTAATTACTAATAAACTTTTAAAAAAATGGTTTTAGATAATGGTTTCTAATGATGTGATCGTGATTAATAAGTCATTGATTAAAGCGAGTCTTGAAGATGAAAGAATCCGGAGTGAAATCTCGGAAAGTGTCCTAGTCAGCTTTATTCGTTCTCGGGCAGGAAAGCATCACAAGTAGAAAGAGTAGTGCATAGCACAGACTCCGAGCGGTCCAGGCTGACTGGTCGATATCTCGAAGT